ACTCTTTTATTTTACCTCAAAATTGCTCAATCAGTTCTGCCCCATCCTATATATTGAGAGGTTGAAATTGTATTGACCTTTTAGGCAATTAGAATTAGCTGTATTCAACTTTGAGAACCCATCTGCTAATTCCCCCACAGACTTCAGTTCACACAATCTTGACCTCATGACTGGAGAACTGGGTTCCACTTCATTATCACTGGGGAGAACATGTATGCACCTCTTATCAACAGTTTCTTGACCAATAGCGATCAGATGCAATAGTGTCTAATACTGAGTTCCACTCATGATAAGTCAAACACTGATCAGCATTCTCAAAATTGGTAAGGAAAATGTCAGGAGAACTAGAAATTAAGAGTTTTAGGTGGTCAGCAGCATTCTCATGACTCAGTCTTTGTAGTCAAGCCATTTGGTTCATCAGTGTCAAACATCCCCAGTGGGTTGGCAGAAGTTGAGTGCTCATTGATGGCCTCATCAAGCAGATCAGCCCGTGCTGCAGTGCTGCCCTGCCCATGCTCCACTAAAGTAGGTCCTCTTGAGGTCTCAGAGGAAGCCATAATGAAGAGTGTGAAAAAGAGGTTGGTAGAAAAGTGTGTGAGTGACTAAAAGAATGTACTCTAGAAGAAAAAAAAATCCTGTTGGAGATGCCAATGTTGCCGGGGTACTGTCTCCCGCCACGGGTGAGGCAAACTCGTCACCTACTTTTGGAGTTTCTTTGGCAACAACCCAGTATGAATTGGAGAATGAAAGAGTAACTCTAATTAAGGTAATTATTCAAAACGGGATTTTACATTACAAATATTTTATTACAAACAAGGGCAGTAGACCCTGAGGTAAAATAGTTCACGCTAACAATAAAGAAAGGAAGCAAAGGCATGAGTGCCCATTACTTGCAAGAACCGGTGTAAAGACAGTGTGTAATGAGATACACTGAGCAAGAGGTAAGCAGGGTATGTGAAGTAAAAAGGAATTCAGAAGAAATCAGTTAAAATATGGGTTATGGAGCATGGGCAGGCAAAGAGTTGCTGAACAATAACTGAAAGGTAAAATGAAAACATTTGTCAGCAAACAGCCTACTCATGCCTTTTACTGTAAGAAAGTTGTTAAGATAAAACAGTTGCCAAGCAAGTGGACAGATGCAGCTTGAGGTAAAAGTGCACTGCAAACCACCAACCAGGCCAAACATAAACCAATACTTCCCTCAATCTCTTAGGAGTTGTGGGAAGCAAAAGAATAGACTAAATAAAAATTAGAACACTCATGAACATAACTTCAAAATCATCAGGTCAATTAAATGGTAAACAATTAAATGCGAAATGAATGCAGAATAAAAATCAATAATTGAAAACAAAACTGAGGTGACTATGGAACCGCAGCATTAAGTTAATTTTTAGAGAATCCATAGTAAAATTAATTGAGAATAATAAGTAATCCAGCTTAAGACATATTTAGCAATTAAATAGTTACTGGGACAGATTTAATGCGCATTAACCAAAGAATATTGCATACATCCCTACTAATACTCACTCTTCAGAGTGACGCAGGAAAGCCTGTCAGTTCTGGCAGCATACTCCTTGTTGAAGTTAAATGAGGAATTCACTTGGAGAATTGATACTTATAATAATGGAATTTACTTTAATGAAATTTACTTTAGCATATTGTCACCACTTAGTGCAGCTGAAACAAATGGAACAGAAAGACAAAGGTGAATGCATGTAAAAATAAATAGGTGACAAAAATACCTATGCAATAAAAGGCATGAGGGTTGAGTGACAAGGGATCAGAAGCCTCACGGCAACAATGACATTCATGAGGAAGAGTCTAAGAAACTCTCTCTGGCCTCTGGCCTCTGGCCCTCTGCTAGCTATGCCACTCACTGTCGAACTGTCTCTGCCAACAAGCCTTCTTTAGTTCTTTTGCAAAAGATGTTTTTATTTAGCCTATGTCCTCTCTCGGCTCTCCTAGAATTGGATAATGCTTGATTACTCATTTAGTTTTTGTGGTCATTGTAGACTTTGTAGTATACTATGTTGCTATCCCCTATTGGAATATTGCACTATTGGACCTAAATTTCCTAAAATCATAGTTAAGAATGATGATTTGTTAGTGGTTATTTGGTTTTAACTTTCAAGTGAGTAAAGTGACCAGAGTGATTTTTAAAAATTTCAGGTTAGGGTAAATGCAGTATAGTCCGACACATTAAGGACCAAGGACGTAGCAAGAAATGAATGGCTATAAATAGATCACCGTAGGCGCAACTCAAGTTCTGATTGGTTTACATCACTCTCAAACTATCACACTACTTGCCAGCAATGATGCTACATCACAAACTGTTGCCATATTTATTTAAATGCCTTTAGAATTCAAACCTACAAAATCCCTGAATTTCGACACACTGTGTGACTAAATTTGGCATATTGTGATACTAATTCCGGCCATAGTGGCAAAGCAGAGAGTTTTTTAGACTCGGTCTCAAGTTCATTTTTGAGTCCTATAAGTAAACCAGTAAAATATCATGGATACCAGGCTCAGCACCAGCATTAGCTTACTTAAGGGGAGCGTCTGGTCAACTTTTTTGGATTTTGGCTTTTCCGGTTTTTAGTCTCATCTTAGAGCTGACATTCTAAGCTATCCAACGGTACCAAAACCATCTCTGTATGTTGATTTATGCGTTCACGACAGATTCTGCAAGGGAGAGAGGTGGGGGAGATCTTTAACAAATTAGATAGGGGAAATTAGCTGCTGTGTACATAAATAGGGTGTCTGCTAGAGCTGAGCTTCAGTAGCCCGACTGGCGTTGTACGGGGTGCTGTGCTAGCAGTCGTTCCCACTCTCATTGACTTGAATCAAGCTCCAGTAAGGCGTAGTTTTGTATCCTTGCTGCATGGAGTGGCTATTTCGATGCACGTGGGACTTTGTCGCGCTGTCCTGAGAAGTTAACTTATTGTCATGGCGAACCTATCTCCTCCTAGAGTTTTAAAGCTATAGCAATGTGAGATATACCATTTGATTCGCAATTGAAATATCTATCAATGCAACGTAGCTTTTTTCAAATTTCGCTACAGTTCTGAAAATATTTTGAAAAAGGGGGGGGAATAGGGAAAAATCAAGAAATTTTAGAAAATTTTGGGAAAAATACTCCCACATTCACAAAAAATTGAAATTAAAAAAAAAAAGCTATGTTGCATTGATAGATAATTCAATTGCAAATCAAATGGTATATGTCTCATCACTGTAACTTGAAAACTCCAGTAGGAGATAGATTTCTACAGTACCTCCTTTTATGGCCATTTTCTAAGAATTTCACAGTTTCTTTCAATTTTTGCAAAAAATTGACATGAATAAAAGCTGTCTATTTTTTGGTTTTACATATGTGTGCCAAGTTTCAAAGTGATCCATCTGTAAATAGCCGAGATAAAATTTTGGCCAGACACTCCCCTTAAGAAATTGGTTAAAATCTTGAGTAAAAGAGGAAATTAAAAATGAAGTGATTCTAAAAAATCTCTGGTTTGTCACTATGATTCTGGCAGCGCTTCAAACTCTAATAATTTGTAATTCCGGCGCCCTGTGTTGGAATTCTGACGCCCTGTGTTGGAATTCTGATGCCCTGTGTGGGAATTCTGACGCCCTTTGTGAGCTGTATCAGAATACGGCACAGCTCGGAACGAGCTTAATTGAAAATTTTTAATTTTTTAATTAAGCTTTTAATTAAGAGCTATTGAGCTTTTAATTAAGAAAATTTTAATTTTCGGACACGGCTCGGAACGAGCTGCGTGTGTCTAATTCCAAGCTGTGTCGGAATTAGTTTTTATGTGTCTAAAACCATCGCTTAACTTAATGATCTATTAATTTATTTACCACTTGAAATCAGCAAATACAAGTTTACTTAAAGGATTCCTAATATATTCACAGACTTATTGAAAAGTCTCAAACCATAATATTCTTTCTACACAAACAGTTTATCACTCTTTGGTAGAGCAAGGTCAACTATCAACTTTGACAAGTTTTTCGATGTTCTCACTGGGTGACGTGCACTGTCTCTCTTTGGATCTTTTTCTCGCCAGACAGCTCAGACCTAGTGTTTTGGCAATAGTATGGCGCGCAATAGTATGACGTCACTACTTCAACCATCAACAAATGCGTGGAACTAAGACAAAGCTTAATATAAAGGAAAAAAGTTGAGAAGTGTTGGAATTACCCATGATGTTGGAATATACTGCATTTACCCTATAATAGGCTGTTTTTCTGATTTTTTAATGAAATAATTTGGAAAGGCTATTGGATTGGGTGACTAAAATATTCCATATTTATGACCACGGGACACGGGTATTTTTTTTCAGATTCATGGCTCAAGCTCATGGGTGGCTTCTCCCCAATTTTCCACTTGCAGTAGTAAAATGTTAAGCAAAACAATTGGCCAATAACAAACTATGTGATTTGAATAAAAATAACCAATAGAATCTCTGGTGTGTTTTGGCTTGCTCTACTGTACATATAAAACAAAATTATTATTAAAATTCATTTGCCCAATTCTAGGATAAAAAAAATCTGATTGGTTTTCTCCAAGTTTGAAACTGTGAAGCATTGTTGCTGTTCAGGCATAAGGCATGGAATATATCTACTTGGTGAGCTGAGACTGGATTTTTTGAGCTGTGGTTTTATGGGTTTGCAAGCCTTGATTCCATTTCTTCAAGCCGTGAATTCTATGTCTTGGCCCTGAAAAGCCATTTATGAGCTGCAAACTTATTATTTACAAAGTCAGAGAGTCCCATGCACGTCTAACCCTACATCTCTAACTTTACCCTAAAAACAGTCCCTAACATTTGTCTTCACTCAAGCGGCAACTGAACAAGTGATACTGCAGTCTGACCGCTCTGACGTGACTGCAACTACGTGATCTTTAAGGAAACATTTTAGGTTGAACATCTCTAACTTTACCCTAAAAACAGTCCCTAACATTTGTCTTCACTCAAGCGGCAACTGAACAAGTGATACTGCAGTCTGACTGCTCTGACGTGACTGCAACTACGTGATCTTTAAGGAAACATTTTAGGTTGATTTGTTGTTGATGTTATTACGTTCTGCCTGTTATTTTGGCTGGAGGCAGGAGCATTGAAGTATATATACTCTGGATTGTGGAAGTTGAAAATTGTATGAAACAACATGTTTGTGAAGTGCAAACCGCGATTTTTTCAATCAAACAAAAAATCATGACATAATTTTATGAAATTTCATACCTATTGAAATTACAGGATATTAGAACCACAATATTTCAGAAAAAATAGGACTTTTCCAGCTCTGTTGCTGTTGAATATAAGATGCATTTATTATATTTTTTCTTTCAGATTTAGCAAATTGTTCCTTTAGAGCTCATGGCTGAAGCAAAGTTGACCAACTCCATGGAACTTCATAAGATAACTAAGCCGTGTATCAATTTGTCATCAACAGATGATGATGATGATGATGATGATAGGGATCAAGAATACTGTGTTTTTAGGATACCTAGAGGCCTTGTAAGTAGTATAGAAGTTTGTTTAATGCACTCATAAATCATTTTAAAATTTGTCAAGCTGCCCATCTGATTGCAATATACTGTCATTTTCTGTGACCTGAGTATTGCTGCATTCCTATTGAAAAATGCACCTTAAATTTCTGTGTATTTTTCAAAAATTAAGTTCTGAAAGATTTTAGACAATCATATTACGGTAATCATGTAAAAATATTTATCATTCTCATTAAATTTCTTTTAAACAAAATTCTTTAACATTATTCATATGATATAATAATAGGATTAGTGTGTTTTTTCTATAACTTTGATTAAATTCTGCACACATTATTGCAATCATTTGCTATTATATTTTTCACTGTACTCTATCTAATGTACCATATTTGCGCTTGCTATATATGTCTCTATGTCATGCAAAGGTTATTATTTGTATGTTTTATACTAATTTTTTCATTTCAGTTTGACCCTAAGGACCTTGTTGGCTGTGAGATAGAGTTTGGAGGCAGGAAGCCTTCTAAGCTCAATATTCAAGGGAAACGTTATGATATTACAATGAGGCCTTTCCATGAGAATCCAATCATTCCATGGCTTCCTGGCCAAAATGGATCACTTATTCCTGGTAAACCTTTTAAGCTGCCAGTTAATTCACAGAATTACTAATCTAAGACCAGAGTAATCTAAAATTTATATTTTGACATTATTTTGCTACAGAAAAAAAGGTAGAGGAAGGAATATCAAGTAGAAAAAGATTTTAAGGCAAATCTATCTATAAAATAAAAAGAAGATCCAATTATATATGTATTTCCAAGTTTTGAGTTAATAAAATAGTAATTATTTTTTTGTAGATTAATTCAATATATATTTTGTGATATTTTCTCATTCTAAGTATGTCTATAATGTATGGAATATAAAAATAAACATATGGTAATTGCAGGTTTACTTGCTATGCACAGAATGTGATGGAAAATGGCTTGTTCTAAATATGTTATGCAATATCCCAAACATGCTCCCGTGTGTCAGTAAATGTATGGAATTGAATAAAAATTACTAATTAAAGATTTTTCAGAATGCATAGGATATTGCAAAATTGCCCACCATTGTTTAGTTTGGAACTCAATCATAAATGAATACTTTATAATGAATATTAGTTACTCAGTCAAGGTTTATTAATAGCTAATTAGTAGCTAATTAATATTAAAAGGTAGCTTGAAGTTAACTGTGATCAATAATGCCTGTAATTTGGGAATCATGTTGTCATCAATCCCATTAGTAAGAATAGGATTAATGTATGCTAATCAAAGAAATACTGACTGTTAAAGCTGACATTTTACATATCAATTCCATTTGATTCTTGTTTTAAAGTATGAAATAATTATATTGCATTTTATTTTAATTGCAAAAAAAATTATTTAATGTATACCTACCTATCAAAATATCATTTTTCAAATTTTTGTTGCAATCCTTTCTTACCAGTTTTGTCATACCTTGTTTTTCTCCCAGTTAGACTTATGTTTTAGTTAGGTATATGCATACAGGGTCATCAATATTTAGCGTTACAACTTTGAGTGGTTAGAACTATGAAATGAAACACGATTGTGAATGTTTGAAAATGTATTTTTGTAGGCAGAGGTTCAGAGATACAATTCCCACAATTTCATTCAATATGTCTACCACCTGCATCAATAAAGAGTTGTAGACACTTAGAGAAAGCCTTACACGAGTCACGAATGACACTCTGCGGGATTTTGGTCCTCTCCTTCAGCAGTTTGACCTTTAGATCGGGGCCATTCAGATCGGGTGACGATGGGGGCCATTTATCTTTGGTAATGAGGTGAGGAACATTCTTGGACAGCCACTCCTGAATCGATTTGGCCCCATGGGATGGTGCAGAGTCATGCTGGAAAGACCAGGGACGTTTTTTGAAGTGCTTTTGTTCCCAGGGCAGCAATGCACCAACAAGGATGGCATCTCGATAGTTCTTCTGATTCAAATTCACCCCTTTGTCAACATAAAAGAGGGGACTCCTTGAGGGCTCTGTTACAGTTGCCCAGACCATCACTGAGGTCGGGCATTGCTTCCCAGTCTCCACACGGGATCCTTCGTCCTCATTCTTTGACCAAATTCGATCATTTTGGGAGTTGAAGACTTGAAGTGGTGTTCAACATTGAATATCTTCTCATCACTGAAAATGAGGTTTGGCAGCATGCCATCATGAATGTGGGAAAGAAGAATCTTGGATCTTTGGAGGCGTTTGTCAACAACTTGAGCAAACAGTTGGTGTTTTAATGATAAAGACAGACAGATGATAAATGATAAATAATGATAAAGATTAATGAGAAGGTGTAAACAAATGACAAATATCGAGGACAATTATCAACAATTAATTTTGAAAAAAATGTAATGCTAAATATTGATGACCCTGTATACAGGTGGAATGGGAGGAGGAAAGAATCTTGGATCTTTGGAGGCATTTGTCAACAACTTGAGCAAACAGTTGGTGTTTTAATGATAAAGACAGACAGATGATAAATGATAAATAATGATAAAGAATAATGAGAAGGTGTAAACAAATGACAAATATCGAGGACAATTATCAACAATTAATTTTGAAAAAAATGTAACGCTAAATATTGATGACCCTGTATACAGGTGGAATGGGAGGAGGGAAGATAAATGTTTTATGTGGATGAGAATGAAACTAAAGCACTTGTTGATGGAATGTGGGGCATATGAGAGAGAATGCCAGTCTATAATGGAGGTGATTCTGGGTATGAGAGAACAAGCAAAGAGTGGTTGGCAATGATTGTGGGTCTATCTGAAGGAGCCACTGTGGCTATGTCTAAGAGTGTGGAGAGATATTTGGAGAACATGTGGAGGTTGAGGGAGAGGAGGAGGATGATAAGAGTGGGGTCTTGTGGAGTGGAGTGTTGACCTTGCTCGGTGGTTCGCCTCCTGTGGCGCAAGGGGGACTCGCCCGGGGCCAGCAGCTGTTGGCCCCTGGAGCGGCAAAGGATCCACCAGGGGGCGGGGGGCAATGTGGGGTCAAGCCGCAAGGGGAGATGCCCAACACCCCCTTGCTCACAACAGAGGAAGATGGGACTAGCCACTCCGGACCCATCTTTAAAAACTTTCAAGGCGAGGGCACCTCGGGGGCCATTGTTGAGTGAAATAAGTGCAGATGATGAGGGTGTGTTGTGGCTGGGAGAGGATGAGGAAAGAGTAGTGGTGGTATATGGGAAAAAGTCGGCTGTGGTTTTGAGGGGTGAGGCTTTAGAGGTGTGGGTGAGAGATGGACAGAAGAGATGGTTTGAGGAGAGAGTGACTGCTGTGGTGCACCAGAGGGCGTGCCTGGTGTGGGACCCTGGGGGGGAGGCAAGTCCCTGACGAGGATCGACGGCCCAAAAATGGAAATGGAAATAGTGGAGGGTTGAGAGAAGGGAGAGTGGGGAGGCAAAGGTAACAGGCTGGAATGTTTTAATACATTCTTTCTGTTTACTTTTAGGATGTTGACTAGCATAACTGAATTATTTCAGTCTGTTAGGATTGTTGTGAAATGCTATTAATTGAACTTTTTTTTAACTGCCGAGTGTGATTAATATAGTTTTTTATGACGTTTGAATGACCGATCTAAAAGTCTTGACTGGAGGTCAGCACACACACAATTCCAATTCCAATAGGTCCAGGTAATATCCAACACAAAAAGTTGTCTGGCCTCAAAAAAGCAAAAAAAAAACTTTTATAAAAATATATGATGCATATGATTTAATTACCTTGGTCAAACTTTATTCTAGCATATTACACTAATTTATTCTACCTATCGCATTACACTAATTTATTCTACCGTATTACACTAATTTATTCTACCGTATTACACTCATTTATTCTACCCTATTACACTAATTTATTCTATCGTATTGCACTAATTTATTCTACCGTATCACACTAATTTATTCTACCGTATCACACTAATTTATTCTATTTGCTTCAGTGAATTCGGAGTCCTCAATCCTGGGGGAAGTGCAGGCCAGACTTCATCTCCCAAAGTGGAATGTTTGCAAACAAGAACATGATCTTGACTACCTCAGACCAGCTGAGCACACACCACCAGATCTGCCTGCCAGAGACTTTTTCTCTGGCTACAGCTCAACTTTTGGTAAAAAATGAATCATTTTTCAATGTTGGTTTGTTGTGTGATAATTCACGCCATAGGATTTATGATCCAATACAGTATTCAAAATTGTGTCTGTTGTTGAATTATGTTATTAACAGTAAAAAATATAGGAATTAGCCCATATGATTTCCATTTTATAACGTCTCAGTTCACATGTTACGATCATTAACTTTGAATTAATCATTTGATTAATCTGCCATTGTATTCTAACATGGATTAGTAGTAGATTTTCCTTTCACTGATCTCGGGAAGCCAAACATTGATCTTGAAAACATTTATCTTGAAATAGTGTTTGAGATATTTGTTGTTAACTCCTGTAGTAATTTTTATTTTGGACCATCAGCTTGTCTTTCTTAGACCATCGTCATTTTGTAGCCAAATATCCATCTCTATGTTTATTAATTAATCAAGGCTCCATGATTTATGACTTGAATAATAAATCTAGGCTCCCTGATTCGTGCCTTGAATATTAAAATCTTATCCTACCATTATTGATTGCTTGTGATTACTTCAATTCGTTTTGCCAGATACTCTACTTTTATGTATCGATATTCCATTTTTCAAATTGAGACCAAACATGAACATTCTTGCCACTCGATTCATTTCACTTTGTATTTTATTCAAGAACTCTTGAAAAACGTTTAGCAGGGAGTGAACGACGGTTCGACAGATTTGTCTGCTGCTCCAAAACTAATATGTGATAAACAATTGTATCAGAAAATCCCGACTGAACGTCAGAGGTCAATCTTGTACGACGAACAACTGCTGTAGCAGAGATCTCACTGGCTGTAGAGAGAAATAATGTCGGTGCTACCACCGCGCTCCCCACAAAATTCAAACGATCGCAGTACCTTTATAATTGGTCTGAAGCAGGGAAATGATGTTCAACAGTGAAATATTCTGACTCGAATAGGCTCCCTCCAAGAGAGGGATGTCTAAGCTAAACTAACGCTAGACAATTAATAAAAATAGCGGTTTCGGCGTTCATTAGGCCGTAGGCCTGTCGCCGATCCTTAACCTCGCAGAACATTCACAGCTTGTTGCGGTATCAAACACGCAACATACTGTTCCAATCTTGGTACTCTGTACTGTAACCACTCAGCCATCCTGTTTGTTTGAAGCCTGTCTGCCATTTCATAGGTACGAATTGAAGTAAAGTATTGCCAAAATCTTTCCATATTTGCTTCAATTTGCGATAATGATTCTACAGACTGAAATGATAAAACAAAGCTGAAGACCGCCTGGAGAGAACTTCTGCCAGAGGAATTCAATCAGCGTTAAGGAAAGCATTGAAATCATTGCACCAAGGCCGTCATGGCACCAACACAAGCTCGATATCCGTAATCCAAATTTTGATCGAATGACGAGGCCAAGTCCAGCGGTGGTAGTCCCGGCAGCCCAGAGGTTGACGGGTTTAAGGCCTTAGTAGCGGCTACTCATCGACGCTCCTCCGGAAATAGAAATATGGGCTCGAAATAGAAATATGGGTCAGGGTATATGGGCTCGTCAGAGGGTCGACAGGCCCACATACCCTGACCGAGAAGTACGTTGATAGTCGCCGGTGCGAGACTGACGAATACCCGTGAATGAAGAACGTCGTAAGCTGTGGCTGTGTTCTGCTACGTCCTGTCGTCCCGAAATACTCCGTATCTCCATGAGATAAAATTTCATGGAGAAAGAGCAAAGCGAAAAATCAGCGGCAGACGTATTTATAATTGATTAATGAAGGAAATGAAATCAATGGGATTATGTGCTTTCGATTGTGCAATCTAGTCATAGGCGTGGGGGAATGATGGTGATAATTTAGTCATATTTTGATTGAATTAGCCTTGAATATATTTCTTCAAGTACCTACTGTTGACAGATTCATTTCTTCTATCTTGATTCAAACTGCAATATTTTTCATTCCAGTTCAAGCTGCATCATCGAAGGTGAGGTCCCGAGAAGGAAACTCGCCGTTGCCCCAGCAAGGAGTCAAAAGAGGTCGTCACAGCATAGAGGAGCTAACTCCTCAAGACCAGCTCAGCAGACCTACGAAAAAGAGGAAAGGCGATCCACTCGTAGCAAATTTCAGGAACGTCTTCAATAATATTTGTAGTTCACCAGGTGATACAGATGAGAAAAAAGATGATGCCACTCATTCTCATTCTGAAAAGAAGAAGAAAAAGTCACGAAAATCTGGAGTTGATCGTATGATTACAGAAGAAGTAGCAAATAATAATGGAACGTACAATTGCGACGCAAGTGGTTGGTCACTAGATACGAATAGTGATACTACAAACTCAAAAAACTTATCTCACGATTCTGATGAAATTGCGGCAACCAAAAGACAAAAATCGAGTCCTGCTCAGTCGCCTCTTGAGAATCACAGTAAAAAGAAAAAGAAACGTGATAGTCACTAGACAAGGAGTCTAATATGCCTCATAAACTTCAGCACGCTTGTATACTGCGGTAATCACAGTGAGATAAATATCCTCCCCATGGCCTCAGTTGACACTTATTGTTACCAAATTATTAATTATGATCACATTGAATGGGTGCGGTCGTCATGACAATGCTATTTGATAATGTTTTTCTTCCCTGTTGATTAATATCAAACTCAGGCGTAAAAAATTTGTGGACTGCTAACGATTGCTTTTTATTCCTAACTCGGCAAGGAATATTCATTCACTCAACTCTCTTTCCCCGAATATATTGTACTGGCTGTTGAAAGTAAAGCTGGCATAACCAATGAAGTATCCTGATTTTACCCCATGAAGTATCTATTTCTCGAAGAATACCATGAATCGGATTGAATTTTTCATTGAGCCATTATCGGTAAAAAAGTGAATGCAGTGAATGAAGGGTATATTTTTTAACGAATATCATTTTTTGTATGGATAATGCACTTAAGTAATGTAAACTTTGGGAAGAAGGGCTGTAGCCAATGAATATAATTTTGGCCCCAAGTTAGAAGAAGTTTTGTTGTACTGTAGAGTGATCAGGTAACAAGGTCATACAGCCAGTGATGGTACTTATCTTGTGATGCATTACTAGGTTCAATTTTTCCCTTCTATGCGGAAGAGAGGCTATCCACTTGGATGTGAGAAATACTTAATGCAGTTTTGTTGTATTATGAACTCGAGGAAATATCGCTGAAGGATGAGCTAGTCTCAACTTTTCTGCCCTGGCGACCTTAACTTTGTCCGTGAAAATATCCCGACACATGGCAGCAGTAACGCATTAAGTATTGATATGACGCAATTATTTCCCCAAGTAACAAACCTAATACATCTTGCTTGATTCATTAAATATTTTTCATTATAATCAAAGTATTATCAGCTCGAGTATTTGGCATAATTCAGTACTTTTTTTGAAGTTCGATTGTAATATACTTCAATACGTAGCTGCTTTACGTATCTTACACTTCGGCTCTCGGACGTTAACCTTTTTTGGGCGATTAATTTAGTCACTCGACTGGATGCATGGATGTGCTGGGCTCAGCTGGAAGTTTAATAAAAAAAAATTCACAACTTCTTTAGTTCACGCTTCCGTGATGAACGCCATTTGGAGCGCTAACAATTTTTTATTTGTGCGCCCGCTCGCGTGAACGATTGGAGCCACGGAAAACTACCTACCTACCTTTAAAAATTGTGCTGATAATATATTGTAGATAAAACGTTGTGCATGTTTAATGGGTCCCCACCAGACATCTGACGTTGAATCAACGTTGAAATAAATTATTTTCCGTTGAATCGACATTAAATAAACGTTTCCACATCTTTTCCGCACACATTGTTCCACACTAATAAAAATTGTTTCATTGGTGGGTCATTTTCTTCATCGCAGCTGTCACAAGAAGTTACGCACCTGCAAATCAGAAAAATATTAGCGTTTAATGTTATTTAATTCCTAATCTATTTTTAGCGAGGAGTCTTAATTGTGTTTGAGGAAAGAACAACAACGGGCCTTGCGCTGCCAGAATGGCAAGGCCAGTTTATCACGAGGCCAATGCCGCACCAAACTGCCTTTGTGCACGTAAGTATTGACGTGACATCACGTCTTTCTGTAATTAAGATCTTATCAACTTCAATAAAACCGTCCATATGGATAAAATCAATAAAACAAATGTTGGTTGCATGTTTTATCATCTTATTATCACTAAAGTTCTAAGTGCTCTAATCCTATNTGTTAGTTGTTACCAGAGGTGGGCAGTAGCGCGCTACATGTAGCGGCTGATAACTTTTCAGTAGCGGTAGCGGCGCTACATTTAAAGCAATGTAGCGGTAGCGGCCGCTACATTTCAAAGTAGCGCTGCCCAGCTCTGCCTATATCGTTGAGTGTTGTCAATGGCTTGATAATTAACACGAAAGAATATAGTTACTATGTATATAATATAGAATTGCAACAGTTTTAGAAAATATCCAAATTATTTGCGACGTCAGTGAAATGCTCTTTCAGTTGCTTTCTTGTCTAACACTTTATTTTTAGATGAATGTTAAATTTATATAGTTCTTGAATCAAAATCAATACATGTTCCTTCATTTAATACGTACAAAATAGATGCTGTTACAAAAAGTTATCAACACGAATTATAGTATCAATCGTAATAAATTTTGATCGTTATTTCATATAAAAAAAAGGATTGTTCCGTTGCCTTTGTCCCTAAACCCTGCTATTGGCTGCCTAATCTATTTTAAGAAGCGGACGTTCAGTATGATAAAAAAAAGGAAGTTGAGGATTTGGTCATGTGAGATGCAGCGAGCTGGGTTGCTTGCTCTACAGACAAGAGGAAGTTTCTAAGCGGTAGACCTTGTAGTGGAGAACGCCTTGCATACACATGCAGCAATGCAGCTGAAGTTTGTAAATAAAAGTTCTTGGTGGCGTGGAAACTGCTGTGTCAAGTGGTTTGTTTTCTGATGCATACAAACATGGAACGAGGTGGTGGAGATTCGACCGCCACTGCAAGTCTCGAATGTGGTCTTTGTGTTGAGATTCACTTGAGAACATTTAGTGGAAACAATCATGTTAAGATTTTGGATGCCTCAAGCCTCATTTTGGTATGACCCGAACTGCATTTCTGCATTAAATATCAATTGATTCTTCATTTTTGTAAAAAAAATCTTACCCTAAGCTGTCAAAAATGGTTAATTTCTAGAATTTAATTAAGATCTACCCTAAATTCGCACTCTTTATCTCTAAGAATAATTGAATTCAAATGCTTACGGCCTAATTTTATGCCATTTACAGTTCTGCTCAAATTAATTTTTGCAGGTGAGAGGCCGAGTATAATGAATCATATCCAAATCTTTTTCACATTCCAAATTGTATGGCTATTGCATTGTCAAGACGCTCAGTTCTGTTACCACATCTTACCATACATTTGGAACTATTTTGCCGGCATTAAACTTATATTATCCATAGTAGATCTTCCTCGTGCCGAGAAATATAGCTAATATTTTACCCAGTCATGGTATTTGCGCGTTAGACCCAGGAATGTCAGTTAACTAAAGGTCTTTGGACCTGTGACGATGTTAAAGTAGCGATCATAACTTTGGCTCAAGACGCAAGCTGCAGATATTTGGCATCCAACACAGGCAGTGAGGCGAGTCTTGTCTTGCAGGGCTTATGTTGCACGAGGTGGCCACGTGATGGAAATAAACCGTGCCATTCCGCCTAGCGAGAGAGTGACGAGAGAACAACAATGGAAGTTGATTTAAGCGTTGTTTCGTTGAATGACGTTGAATTAAGAGTTGTTTTGTTGAATGGTTGGTAAATTAAATATTGTTTCGTTTATTAAATATGCGTTGTTTCGTTGAATGACGTTGAATTGAGAGTTGTTTTGTTGAATGGTTGGCAAATTAAATATTGTTTCGTTTGTTAAATATGCGTTGTTTCGTTTTATCAACAGTAATTTAACGTTGTTTCTACGTATTTTGCCCGGTGAGATGAGATGCGAGGTGTACTGTTTCTCTTGTAAATGCAGTTATATTGTACTGAATGTGTCAGTCATATGGGGAAGTAGAACTAGCCTTGTACTATCTCGAAACAAAAAAAAAAAACACTTGAAATAAATTCTCAGATTACATTATATGTTTAAAACGATACATACCTATAGTCCATAGAATATGTAGGACTCATGGTTCAACAATGGTAGGATCGAATAGCCTTGCGTTATCTCAAGAAAAAAAAAATAATAATAATAAATAAACACTTTAGAGCAATTCTCAGGTTCCATTTTATGTTTAAAATAAAACATACCTATAGAGTATGTATGACTAGCCTTGTGTTATCTCGAAGCAATGTAGGACTAACTGCGCAATTGTTATCTCTCGATACGGATATTGGACTGATATTTCCAGTGTAGCTTCGATGGTCTTATAGGCTTCTCATGTAGGTGTAACTTTGATAATTGAGTAAGATAAGCAGAAAATGAACACTTGCACATGGAAGAAAGCGTTATTAACTTATTATTAAAATCGTGTAAAATGTTATGGTAGTTATATTGTAGTTATAGTGTAGTAGTTGTATGTGTGCAGCTATATAACAAGAAAATGTCAGGAGAGATTAAATGTCACATTGAAATTCTATTTGGCAACTTATATCTTTATCATTTCACTATAATTAGTTGGTGAAATACTACTACTACTACTAATTAATGCTTTATAAAATAAAGCACCAACCAGCCACTTCGGGTTCTTCGATGTTAATTTATTATCGTTGCACGTTGCGTAAGTTCTTTTAGCTTGTAAAATAAATAATAAATAAGTTTATATTTTGGGCTGAAATATAGCATTTTTGTGTGGGACTGCAAAGGTACAACTGTACCTACACTCTGTACGATTGTGAAATTTATGGGCCATTTGCTAACGGTTAAATCGTATTTCTCTAATCTTTGAGCTAGCTGAGTAGAAGAACATAATGGAGTCAAACTGAGTGAGTAGACAAAGAACATAATGGAGTCCGAGTCTAGAAAGTTACTCATACCTTATTGGCGTCGGAATGCGAGACTCGTTTTACAGACACAATTCAGGCTTACAACGACCGCAGGAGATGGTGTGGGTTCCTTGCTCTTACAACTTATTGCAATTTCGCCCACGATATATTTCAGCATTTATATTGAACTGTGGCCGAAGACTCCTTATTTTGATCCTGATTCTTCATTTGTCTCGTCTCATAATGCAATGGGTTTTAACGACGTGCTCTATAATTACACGCCTCCAAAAAATACGTAGCGATTTTCAAACAAAAAATTAATGTTTTCGTCAATGTATGCAGAGTATGCTGGTATGTGGCCGTCGCATATTGCATGCGTAAAATTATTATTGACTATTGATATAAATTATATTGTTAAACTTTTTAATTCCTCCGTTGCATGATGTTCATGATAAATATTTGTTGATTTTTTAAATTTTTTGAGCACGTAATGCACTCATGTGACAAATCTCAAAAATGTTTTAATTGTTAGATATATAACCTGAAAACCTGTGATTTTGCATGATAACTATGGCTTATACTTTTGTGACAAAGTGATATGGTCAGAATAAATAAATTAATAAACTTTAGTACATCCAGTCGGTATTTCCCAAGACTCTTATTAAAATTCTGGCCACGGCATCAATTTCTCTGGAAAATAATTGATTTCTCTGTTGACTTAATTCTTTCTTACTCAAGCTTTTTAATGTGTTCATATCGTCAGTTCTTTCTTTAAAAGGATTGCGCTCTACTGGCAAAAAGCTATCAAGCTCCAGGCGAATCAAGTCTCAATTCAGCACGCAGGCGCCACGTGATCTCGCAATGCTTTTGCTAACTGCGCAATTTATCCATATACACTGCATAATTTATCTAAAAAAATAAATCAATCCCTCTAACATACGTCTCCCTGTCAAGCTTTATCCTTAGGTTATCTTCTTGTCGGCTGCGCGCGCAGGTGAAACTGATTACCAACGTTCATGAAAAACACCTACTTCTCTTTATCAAAAACTTTTAAAATAAAAAAAAAACAAGAAACTTAATTTAAGAAAAACAGCATAGAATGACATTCATATAGCTTGTATTTTTACTAGAGTTCACTAGAGATAAATTAATGTATTTTTACTAGAGCCGTAGATAAATTATTGTTATTCTCGAATTCCCGTTATGTAATTGGCATAGACATAGGCATAAACATAGATTCTATGTTTATGCCTATGCAACTTTATGGGAACCACTTTGGTGTGATGAAAGATACTTTCTTAAAGAAATTACAATGCAGATTCTCAAATAAGACCTCTCCAATCGAGAAAGCTCATTTATTGTAGTCAATTTAATGCTCTGAATTTATAGTCAAGTTAACGTGTTCGCACGGTTATTGTCTTCATTTATTTCTAGTTAGTATAACACGGCAGAATTCGTTCTTGTATTCAAGTTTTATTGAAGGCAAGAGAACTTGTTTTATTAATTCACATTTTTTAACAGATAATGAACCTTGTTATAGAAAAAATTAATAATAAACCAATTCGCTGGTCTTCAATTAAACTTATATATTCAAAGAAAAAAGAATGAACTTGAAGCATTAGCCAAATAAAACTCATGGAACAGGATCACTTATTTTTAGTGCATTTTCTCATTAATGAAAAAATGCACTATTGTGCTCGCCATGTCAGTCCGTCCGTCTGTCCGTCCGTGACTTCACTTTTTCGTCGACGAGAAAATGCGCTCTCCGTCACTCACTGCAGTGAGTACTGACTACTGAGTTATATTTTTTATAATAATGTTGCGGATCTACAGCAAAAATCCGCCATAGCTTGACCTGCTCGTTTAAAAGATTACTAGATCAATAATTGTTCTTTTTTTTGGCTGCCCGCACTGCGGCGCCATCAGGTCGGAATCCTGAACAATCTGGATTAGAAGGGAAGAAGAGAACTCGGGGGGAACTGCGCTGGGGTAACGGTTGGGGGTTTCTACCATCAGACAACCATAAATCGATTGCAGGTTCTCCCCTAACTACAATAAAGACTGGTTTTAACCGGATTTGTTCGTCATTTTATGTATTGGTGCTTGGCTAGAGTTTTTTTGTAAGCTAGAACAGCCGCGACCTGTTTATTCGTAAATTATTTGTGCTATATGTATTAGGAAAATACGGCTAAAACTATAAAAAAATATTCATATGAGTAGTTTGCTCCTAAATTTATAGAATATGCCATTTTTTGCCGAATAAATTCTATGTTTTTATAGATTATTATGCATGTATATGTTTTTCTTCGAGACCGATCTCCGGAACATTTTCCATCAAAATATGATGAATTAATTTTTTTTTAATTCTGAATTTTGATTTTTTGTAAAAAGTTCGCATTGTATTTACTGATAGCATCGTAACACAATATGCTAGACAATTTTAGTTCTCTCACAATTTTTCATATAAAAATAATTTATAAACGCGAATAAATTTTTGAATAACATATTTTTATCATGGCTCATTCATGACGCGAATACATATGCATTTGTCGTCAAATTTTATGTATTTGTCCCAATAATGGTACTAAAAAAGCTACACTGACGACGCAGTACCTTTATTGCGTTTAATATATTTTTTGCTCACAATAAAGAGTAGAAGAGAGGCAGCAGATCAGCGGTGATATGGCAGTTTCAAGAGGGTGTCTAGCGCTTGGAGCCACGCCTCTCGAGGTATATAAACCACCTCTAGGCTCTTGCTTGTCAGAACGCAATTTACTGGCCAAGTGTGAAGACATCTCTCTGCTGCGAACCTGTGAATTGAAACTTCAAACGATATTGAAAATTTGAAATCTCATTCGTCATCAAATAATTCTGAAAACACTAAATTCAAGAATCATGTCTCATCTCATTAGCGACATTTTTCTATCTGACATGACCATTATCCTGCCTCCGAGAGAAGAAAGTTTGAATGGTCAAGATATTGTGCCATACACCTTGGAGCGCTCGGTGAACTGCTCCGAGGGCAAGATGGGCCCGAATAATGGCAAAGTTTCGTCCCTGAACAGCCTGCCAGTCATTGAAATGAATGTTTCAAACTATACCGGCCTCTCCGTAAGTACAAAAAAATTCTAATTAAAAATCTGTTGATATAAGATTTTTTCTAACGTAATTTCTATTAGATTGAAATAGGTATAAAACGTGCAAAGCATTGATTTATGAAGATAGGTAGGTAAGCAGAGTATTGATTCATTTTTCTATCAAGCCTAATTATAGTCTCCAACACATCAGCTGTTCGCTGATGCCAAACCGGCTGTTGGATCTCTCTGGTATAGATACTGCCAGGCCATCCGAGATGATGAGGTGAGTCACTGAATCTAATTTTTAACAGCGGGGGCAGTTGGGTTAGTGCTACCTCAAGATGAAGCCTCGTCACTTTCCGAGAACTTAATTTTACATGCGCCTTTCATTTAACATAATCAGAATTCAGATAATTGTGATTGATTTACCAATTAGTCAATCATCTTCATTTACGATTTTTCAATAATATGACTATTTTAGAAAAAAATTTATTTATGAGCTTGTTAAAAACGTCATTCACTCCCTTGACTATCGATTGCTAAATTAGGTAATGAGTTTCTGCTTTGTCTGACTTTTTTTTTTAATATATCTGTATGCCGTAATTGTCAAGTCACGCGAGGAACGTTGTTTCTGTCAGCTGAAATTATGTTCAGCTTTCAGCAACCAATTTTGACATTTCCTCATAGGTAACCCAACGTCGTATTTTACGTTTGTCAAACCAATATAAATACTAGCGCAGTAAAAATAAGTTCTTTTTGAAATCATCTTGAAAAAATTCTTTACTTTGGTTTCGTTGCTAAAGTGTTACATAACACTTATTACGTTCTGTCTAATTTTGACAGCCGATTTCTAAACATTATTCAAATTCGTTTTTGTCTTCAAGAATTCGTCTTTTGAAGTGATAAGGCTTTATGTTTCGGTGCAATTGGACTGGGCGTTGGGTGGATACGAGTCGTGTTAGGTATGGAAGAAAGGCTGTAGTTTACTAGTGGGGCGAGGAACGTTACATAATCAAGATATCGGGATTAGGTCAACTCGTAACCTTATGTCCTATTTTTTTTTACAGAAGAAGGTAACAATTATCTCGAGTTAAATGAAGTAAAATTTGGTTTAAATGAATTCTAATGCAAATATTGGTTTCAAATTGCAAAAAATTTTAGCAGTCCACCAATAACTAATAAGTTACCGTTAAATTTGAGCTTTGTCCTTGAATACTTTCTGGGTCGAAGTTATCATTTTAGCATTCGTAAGACTTCCTCATTTTGTAGTTAAGTAGGGTAGATTTATCTAAACGAACGTTCATTTGTCATATTCTTTTTATTTGGCCAGAATCGGTTACAAAAATATTTTAAGAAGGATTTGGTTGGCAGGGAAACTTAAATAGCGCCTCGGGAATCTGGAAGTCGGATGGGAATGATGGTGTGGATGACCGCTACTGCTGTCGGTAGTATTTTTGTCCGCACGTAAACCCTGTTCTTTGCAGAACTACTCTACCACGGCCGCAGAGTTTGGGGCCTCTTAATGATGCAACAGTTGCTTGCTCAAGCAGCCTGTTCTAAGTAACGTGCCTTGTGCTCTTACAAAACTAGCGATATTGCCTTTGCCTGATTCTTGTTCTCCTCACATATATTATAATCTATAAATTAATGGATAATATACGTGTTAATGAAGGAAAATAAACATGATCGAGGTTTATGTGTTCGTTCATTACTGTTATTCACTATAATTATTGGCTGAGTTCACACTATATTGAACGAAAATCAAACTTTCACTTGAGTATGTCTAGTTGCTGCTCACTTGAGTTACAATTGCTTGGTTACTGAGGGAGTCCCGGAGAAGATTCCAGTAGGCCAGGGAGGCCTCTGCAGTCATCACCCCGTCGCAGAGATCGTGTGTGTCTTCGTTTCTTTGTCGACATCAACGCGCCTTCGCGTCGACCAGCCTAAAACAGAAGAAATGTTCAGTTAACCAAGCATTTGTTTACTCGTGTGCAATAAGCAGTCCGATGACCTCAACCTTACCTTTCCTCGACACTAAAACACCACTATTTCATCCCCCTTAAATTGCGAGGATCAGGCAATCGTCAAGATCGTTTTAATGTTAAGATTGATTCCAAAGATGTTACGTAACAATTGGAGCACTTAATTGTCATGCTTTCGCGATTACTTTGGTAGTTACCTGCGTATTTCTTCATTTGAGAATGTTTTATTTTATTTATTTTGTTTGAAATATGACATACACTGAATTATAAATTGACTCAATGAATTACCAATATTAGAAGATATCCATGTTTTACACGTCTGACATGCAAGATCAGTCTTTGGTCGAAATTTATACTTTATTTTTCATGCTATGTGTTAAAAACCTTGACTGTTGCTGTTCATTAGATGTCACTAGCTTACTTCACTACACTCAAACCCTGAAACACTTTTTAATACTTCGATGCTCATTGTACTCATTCTTTCAGCATTCTCTTGATTCTCGTGGAGAAGCACAAGCTATCCCGTGGAGCCGATCCTCGAGCTTTGACCAGGAGTCAATCGAAGACGGCCTATTACCTGGAGAGCTCAGCGTCAAAGGTTTTTATGTGGACCCTGCTATTGTTCCCGGCTTCAAATACGTTGTGCGCCTGGCCGACTCTGACAAACTTCTTTTCAATGTGAGTGAATAAAATATCTCTGATTCGATTTGATTAAACTCTTAATAATTGATTTGTTACCAAATAAATGTTACTTTTTTTTAACTTTCTTTTCCCCATTTCTTTGTGGATAAACATTTGAATCATAACTACATTATTTACCATACAGTAAGTAATGCCAGATCGATATATCTTTTATTAAGAGGTCATATAATTAATTTTATTTGATGAATAATTTTCGTGTGCATTCTAGGGTAAAGCTCTAAAGCTGGTGAGCATTGGCCGCGGATATGGCAAGAGAATCACATTCGAGAGCGACTCTGCCATCTGCAACGAGCACTACTTCTACTCGGACACTCACTCAGCTGGATATGGATTCCGGCTCGTCGCTGTGGAACAAGGGGCCAAATTCACGCTTAAGGATGGCTGCGGTAACGCCATGGGCTTCGCAACAGTCATCGAGACCTTGGTCAGCATCAAAACTTTTTGTTTTCCTAGTCTCCACTGGTTTTCGTGATTTATGGGGTTTTGTGGTTACTGTCATTAAGATGCATTTTTTTTTCATTGAAGATAGTTTGTAGCTTACATCATGCTGCATAACCGAAAAGTATGACAGGGAACGAATCTTCTGTAGTAGCCTTAGTTCTGTTCACGAGTAGTCTCGTTGGACAGAACCAAAGGCTATATTCAGATGAAGTTCATAATAAGTATTTATAATGCAATATTCCGGTTTCAGGAAGAAATGGAAGAGTGTCATGAGGTTACCTCCTTGAAGCAAGTTCAGAAGCTCGTTAAAGTGACACTTCTATGCAATGTGGAGAACTTGAAGGATTTTGGTGGCTATGAACAGAAGACGGTGGAAGGCACTGCCGTCCTTCTGAGAGAAAAAGCCAGTGGTCCCGCTGTGCTTGAAGAGAGTGAGTTCATTTCCCTTTATTTAATATTTATCTTGTAAGTAGCAAGTGTAAATACCTTTTCAAAGTAAACAAAAATTGGCATCACACTGGACAGTAATTTTCATAATTGGCTGCACCGACTGTGACTTGGATGAATTCTTAGCAAACTTTGTGATGCAGTACATCACAAAAAATGTGCAATCACAACCCACTTTTTTAGGAATTTTTCACCTATCAGCTAATATCTCAGGCTAAGAAATTCGCTAGCGTTCTTCTGTTGATCTTTCTTTCTTCTTGCTCTACTGTGATGAACACTTATCATTTGAATTAATTTTGTTCTTGTGGCCAACAGTTATCAACTGCAGCATTGAAAGCGAGAACGTTCACTTCACCCTCGTCCCTGGTGTTGATGAGAAGGAAAGAATCTTCTTCGTGTCCAGCAACCAGGGAGACATACCGGCATCCTTCATCGTCACTGGTCAGTGTTGGACATGCTTCAGAAAACGAGCGAAAATAATACAGTATCTTGGAATTTGAATAAGGGTTCATGTTGAAATATATCCCGATTGTGCACATTATTTTATCCATATGTAATCTATTACAGCTGAAAATGCCTGCCGAGAATTTATTCAAGTATATTATGGTACTTTATAATTTGTTGAAAATTGTGTACATAGCAAGTTCTCTTGTCTGTTGAAATATGTCGTTCAATTTGAGCTCATATCTTCTGAACATGAGCTTCTGGCGACATCATTCTTACCATTTTGTGTTGAACTTTTAAAAGAATGCTTCGATTTTTTCACAGGCCTCCTTCCTCACGAACTGCCAGTGATTGGTACGTTCGTGCACCCCAATATCATCGTTGGAGCGAAGTACAAAGTCCGAAACCTGGAGAGCGGGAAGTATTTATTCGATGGACGCGCAATGACACTCCAATCCATCGGCCGAGGCTATGGGAAGAGAATTACTTTTGCCAGTGAAAGCCACATTCACAACGATAATTACTTTTACAGCGACACCAACTGCGGAGGATTTGGATTTACTATTGAAGCCCTCAGCGTCGGCGATCATTTCAGGTAAGAATTTAAGAAAACGCAGTTCAAAGTCGTGTTTCATTTTATGTTGATTTATTTATTACATCATATTTCACTTCCTTCCCATCCAAATCTAATTTGTGTTCGAAATTGAATTTTTTTGAAATTATTGAAGGAATTACGAACGCAAAAAATGCTTTTTATACCTAGTTTTCATTGCTCTATTATTTTGATGTGAAATAAAGAAAAATTGAATCTCCGCCCCCCCCACCAGAATCGTGGACACGAACACCGCTGAAGACGTCGGTGTGGCTGAGGTGTTCCGTACAGACGTCCCTCAGCGCCCTCTGGCCTCCAGCTCCCCCGGTCTGGGCCGCGTTCACGTCGAAGTGACGTGCAACGTAACACGGATGGGCGAGACCTGCACCATGCGAGTCTCGGGTAATTGACTCTCTATGGTTTATTTCACATGAAATTGTAGGTTAAAGGTAGCTTATCGATAATGCATGCTTATAGTGTACAGAAAATAATTTGATAAATATTCCCTCGTTTTTCATAGAACAGACATATCTAAAATGTGCATCTTCATATGACTTTCACTAGAAGAATACTGTGTAATGCATCATTGACGGGCATGAATATACACGAAATAATTTGATATTGTCAATTTCCAGGCACTGCCATCATCGAAAAGCACAGATCTGGAATGTCTGTGTCTGTCAGTGACGTAACAATGAGAGCGCTTCAGCCGCCGAACCCAAGCCAGACTTTCTTGTTCCTGCCTGTTTAGGTTTTTACCTACGAGAAATTTACCGTTGTCAATGCTATACGTACCTACCTAAAGGCTGAATACCTAGAGATACTCTCGGTAGACAAAGGGTTGCGTGAACGGTGGCGCGCGACACATTTCTTTGCCTGTGATCTAGTTTAAAATCATTGTTATCCGTCTCGTGAAATGTAGATTAGCGAGGCTACCGTTAACGTCTGATGATTTTTATATCCTAATGTGTATTTTGAAGATAACCATGTTCGTTCAAAATCCTTCAAGGGACTACACTTGTGATTGTAGTAGGGGAACATTCAGCTACGAGGTTTATCTATTTCATCATTAATGTTAAAGTCCTCGTAATTGGTTAGTATTATAGAAGGCGTTTATTTACTGGAAATAGCTCTGTGTATATTTCACTCAAATGAAATAATCTTTTCTGATCAAGAATCATTAGCCAGAAATTATCTATTTCTCAGATTTAAATGATTTTGCTTGGATGTTGTTAGGTTTAGATTATTTTTCGTTGCTTGAATCTACACTTTCAGACTATCCTGTCATTTCTTATACGTTGTGCTCGAATTCAGGACTGAAGAGATAGACAAATGTTAGTATTTTTCTGGGATCTTATGAGCTTGAAGTATATGATCTGATCCTAAAGGTATTTTGGTAACAAGTGTCATTGAGGTATTATTCACATTTCATGTATGCAGCTCATCGATTATTTAATTACATCTTCCCATGCTTGTTCATTACCGTAAATATAAATAGCTGATAAATGAACGCTTAGATTTGCTAGTATTATCTCGTTGTTTGAATCTATTTCATAACATATATTCTCTAGTTACCTGCCGCATCTTTTTGAAGTAAATTATTAGACATTTGTACAACTTTTTTTAAAACACCTCGGATGGAAATTAAACTTGTTGTCCTCTTCCCTTTGCTCTAAACTAGGCCGAACAGACAGTGCGCACTAAGGTTATTTTCAGGACGATAAATGTTTTGAAAACGGACGGAAATTTTATTCGTCAGATTAATGCAAACAATAAAGTCACATAGGGCAGTGGTTACTAATGTAAGGTGCGTCTATATATACCACGACGTAGTGAAACGCACGGGTGTTTTTCCGGTGGGTTAACACTTGCTGGGTATAGATGACAATCTCACGATAATTGAAAGTAATTTAAACCTGCTGGGAGGCTACCCACCCGGTACCAGAGGCACACTATTATTGATTCTCCACTATGAATTTAATCCTAAGTGCTATATTGAATTATGGTATACTTAAATGCCGTATAATTATGTTAATATTAATTAGGATAAAATGCAACTAATACTAACCCGTGACGAGTAATACAAAGTGTTAGTGTTACAGAGCGCTGGTACGTCTAAGTCGGTGGTTCCCAAAGTGTGCGATATCGCTCCCCTAGGGGCGGTGGATTGATTTTGGGGGGAGATAAGGAAGAAGAGGGCGATAGGGGGGCGGTAGTCCGAAGTCAATGTCAGAAGTTCTCACGTTTGTTAGACGATTTGTACACAACACGTGCAGCACATGACTCCCAGCGATGGTTTTCTCTTTTTTTTTTAACCTAGCTCTCCTGGGTTTACGTCTCTGACAAATTAACGGCCGGACAAATTAAATGATCAAGGAATATCTATCAAACTAATAAACTTAACTTGATGAAACTTGGTACACTTATTCATTAGGACCTAACGGTAATGTTTTGCTTGTGAAAATTGTTTGAATTTTGTCATAGTTTGTTTTTGCCATATTTATATGGCTTAATACGGGCCGAAATTCACAGTGATCAAGTAATTTCTTCCAAACTACTGAACAGATTCGAACGAAATTTTGAACTTACAGTCATAACTACCAAAAGGGTGCCTCTCTGAGGAGGTCCATGTGTATATAGATATGAACTGCCGTATAGATATAGATGCAGGTGTATATAGATGTGCTTTGCGGCTCTGCCGGGTTCCATGGCTCCGCCGTGTTTTGTTTTCGTCAGCGGGTTTGCTGTCATTATGTCATTGCATTCATATTTTATTGTTCTTTTGTACTATAATTTATTTATTTATTTATTTATTGTATTAATTTTTAATTTTTGTATTTTCTTTGTTGTTTTGTTATTTTGTTGTTTGTTTTTCCTTAATATTTATTTCATTCATTACTTTTATCCTTATTATTTATCTATGTTTAATTTTTGCATTAAAAATGTATTATTTTTATTTATTTATTATTATTATTATTTACTTTTTTTCTTTTTCCGTGTGTGTGTTCTCTCTTTGTTTCAGATTTTAACTTTCAGAGCTGTTGAACCGTTAGGTACCAATTAAACCCAGTTTAGGCAAGGGGCTTTATGGACTACCTTCCAGTGCTCCTATAAGAATAAATTAGAAAAAAAAAGAAAGAGAAACTACCAAAAGGTAATGATTAGCTCGTGAAAATTTTTTCGATTGTGCCTTCGTTCGCGAGTTTTTTTTTTCATTTCACCTTCATTCGTTATTTAAACAACAATTCGTGCTTAAATTCGCAGTAATAAAGAATTTTTTTCCAAAGTACTGAACAGATTTGAACGAAACTTAGTATGTAAATACCTTACCTCAGCAACGGTGATGTTTACATTTTTTTTCTTTTTGCCTTCGTTTGCGAGTTATACGGCTATACGTATACTGATTCTGATTTATAGAAGCCATCGATCGACCGTTAGAAAAGCCGGTCGTTCCTACTACAGTATATCTGTATAACTCGCAAACGAAAGGAAAATGGAAAAATTGGCACGAGCTAAACATCACCGTTGAGAGGTTATGTATTTATATACAAAGTTTCGTTGAAATCTGTTCTGTAGTTTAAAAGAAATTTCTTGATCGCCGCGCATTTAAGCGACAAATTACCCGGCGATACTGGCCGAATATAAGGAAGTGTGAATTCAAGAATGACGGTGAAATAAAAAAAAACTCGCAAACGAAGGTAAAATCGAAAAAAAATTTACAAGCTAAAAAATCACCGCTTGGTAGTTAGGGAATGTATATTCAAAATTTCGTTCAAATCTGTTCAATAGTTTGGAAGAAATTCTTTGATCAATGCGAATTTCGGCCTGTTTCGTAATATACGCGCAACTCACGAATGAAGGTGAAATTAAAACAAATTTACGAGCTAAACATCACCGTTAGGTTCTGATGAATACGTGTTCCAAGTTTCATAGAGCTGCGTTCATTTGTTTGGGAGATATTTTCTTGATAATTGAATTTGGAGATTGGTCGTGCAACCGGCCACGAGTCCGGCCGTAAATTCGCCCGCGACGTCCTTGACTTCTAGTGCTGAAACAGTTAGAACAGCTGAAAAACATATTGGTTCACTAAACGGGGTTCTATTTGCGAAATACACATTTGTGTTTAACCTTTGTCTTTTAAAATTGCAGCGTACTAAATTTCGAGAAAGTGGCGTATGTCTGTGGGGGGCGCTAGAAATTCACTAGGGAGAACTTGCTAGAAACGTCGGAACCAAAAATTTCACCCAGCCACCACTTCATAGTGATTAAAAGAAATAAACATTTATACAAGAAGGTCTCAATACATTGGTTACTTGTTAACGTGTTAATTTTTCTTGTTCACAGCTCTGAATCCAATTGCATATCAAATTAGGAAAAATGCGCCCCATATGCTGGTGCGCAATGAGTACCAAACCACGATGATCGAACGTTAAATGGAAAACGATTAGTAAGTATTTAAATGATAAAGTCACGAGGTACACATGAGACAAATTAATTGCTGAAATATCAGCTAAGTATTTTTTTAGGATTCTCGAGCTGGGTGTGTCTTATAACCTTTGTCATTACATTTAAAATTGTGCGACGAGGAAGGAAAAATGCCCACAATGAATTGATATAATAAATTTATAATGAATTACAGTCTAATAGGACGTATCCAATCTATTTCAGGCCTGGCATAATATCTCATAACATATAAAAGTTCTCATATTAAATTGTTGTAAGCTGTGTTGCCTGAGCATCGATCGATCGCCCTGAATGTGGAAAACCGTACTGAAATATGCACCCTTGAAAGGATCACGTTCGTAGGCAATATGTTTTCAATGTGAGCAAGAACGGCTGCCGTCTGAGGAAGCACCTGAAGTGTCCAACACAAGGCTTCAACTGCCAGATGCATAGCTTCTATCATCGTGGGACGTGACTAATAAGAAAGAAACGGAGTCAAGCTTGAGACAGCTAGAGTTTTGGTCGAGTTCAGTCTTGAATCAGCATCGACACAGATCGGTCTTGAACGCCTGTCATTTCACTGAACATTATAATACAAGGTTTGACCAAATTAAACACCACTAGAAAATAACTCGTAACTCACGGACTCAATAATTCGTTAAAATGTCAGCTAATATAGCTGCGGGAATGGCTCAACTCTTGCCACCCATAGTTTTTCCAGAAAATTTATCTGAATCGGATTTGGACTTGTCCTCCGAACTTACAAGTGAAGGAGCGGAGTCAACAGCTGAGTTGGAGGATCCTCCGTCTGCCGAGCTATTACGTGAACTTGTTGATACTCTAGATTATTACTTCGGCGACGAATCACTGGCCAAAGACTTGTTCCTCTTAAAACACATAAAGAGGCAGCCAGAGGGGTATGTATCGCTGAAATTACTGGCTGGGTATAAGAAAGTAAAGAAACTCAGTCGAAATTGGCGAGTCGTTGCATTGGCAGCGAAAAAATCAACCGTACTTGTCCTTAACGAAACAGGAACTCGAGTAAAGCGTAAAAATCCTTTGCCGCCTTCACTGGCAGCTGAGCTTCCAGCTTCTAAGACACTTATGGCTATTAATGTTCCAGAACACTTATGCAGTATTGAGCAACTAGCTACTCGATTCGCTTCTTGTGGACCGATGGCTGCTCTACAATTGATTAAACCTGGGCAAGGAAACCCACCGGAACTCGTTGCAATCATAAACAAATTTCCGGGAGCAACTGACACGACTTGTGCTGTCGTCGAGTTTGAGGACGTCTGGGGAGCCACAAAAGCATTGCAAAATAACACTGAACCTACGCTAGATCTTCACGTCATTAAGATTAACAAGAGGCGAGAAAGAGGAACACCAGAACTGCGCAGCAATCGCCCGTTCCACCATCAAATGTACCGGCTCCTCATGGAAAATTCGCACGGTAGCGAATCCAGTGGTTCCGAAGGCGATGATTTCTTACGCCAGAGCATCGGAGCAAAATTTCAGGGTATGCGCGTCTGCGCTTCTACTCCTTCAAGTCCAGCAATCCGGCGATGTCCCTTCTCCCAACCTCGGGAAATGAGAAGTCCACGAGGACCGGATGGTACCAGTGGATTTGTTCGGACGTCAACCTCGACAGAACCATCAACTGTGACTCCATGATAAAAAACCATCAACTGTGGCTTCATTATAAGTGTAGCTCAATACACACGAACTAAATTACTTCCTCATTTTCCCATCCCCCCCCCCCAAAGTTTCCGAGCATTTGAATGCTATATTGGTCTGTAGTATCTGAAGGGTCGGTAAACTCCACTATAATAGGCTCCAGCTGAAGCTTCTTACACATTATATTTATCAGTATTGCTAGTATTTTCATTTGTGACTTACTGGCCTGAAAGATGATGAAATACGCTATAATTGAAAATATTATTTTAATACGAGGAGATATCGGCACCAGGCTGTTACTTGACTCTTCAAGTATTTATTTAAACGTAAAGAGAGTGTCTTGATCTATAGATTAAAAGCCGATTCTAGTCCCATTATGTAAGGAGTAAATAAAAACACCGCGAAGGCTTTGAGAATTTTATTCCCAACATCATTTCCTTTTCAATTTCATTATCATTAGAGTTCAACGATCTGAAATATGCTAAAATTTCTAGGATAAGAGAAAGCTAGTTTTTCAAGGTAGTCTGCGACTGATGAATACACTTCGAAAGCTAAATGGTTGTAAGATCTAAATAGTTTAAATTAATGAAGAATTCTAACTTGATTAGTCAAAACACAACAATGTGTCTATGCAATGTTAATATCACTTTCATTGGGACTTTCTAACATTTGGACATAAAAGATAATAAGCAGAAAAAATCAACGGGTGGAAGTACAAATATCGTCTCTTTCGCACCGCGATAGTAATAATAAAACTATGATGCTTATGCGGACTTATAGGAAATACGTTCGTTTTTAACGCGACTCTCATTATCTCATCTATGAACAAGAAGTAGTTAGGAGAAAATCGAGTTTTTGGTTCACTGATTAGTTAAGATTCAAATAAGAATAGAACAAATAATAGACTAGGTAGTGTCGTTATCAACCAAAATAACAATCACTAAACGAGCACAGCACGAAGCCGAGCTGTGCATTTATAGCCAGGTAACTACTTCATACAAGATAAGTTTAAAATGCGTAAATACCACACGAAAAGAGCAATTTCTTTCCCCGTATTTCGCTCACAAAAGCTGCTCACAGCTTCAAAGAAATGAAACGGCATAATAATAAGGAACTTTCCTCAGCTACCTACTGTTGTAAAAGTTCGAGAATTCACTCTTTCGAGAATTCACGAGTAAAATTGAATTCAATAAACGACATTTTTAACAATTAGACACGAAATAAATGATTTCAGATCACAATTGCTGCAGGACACTATTGTTATAGAGAACTAGAAGAAAAAAAAGCAAGTAATTTCTACGCCTGAAACGCAATGAACTGGCCTTGGTGCTGGAAAATAAGCCAGCTTTGAAAATTTGTAGTATAGCATGCACTACCATAAAAGTTGTTAGTATCTATCTGATATACAATTGGGGTAAAATTCTTAAGTTAGGTGCGTGAATCGGTCCACGTAACCTATTGAAATTTGAGATTTATAATATTTGCGACCGGAAATTATCTTCAATCCTGCGCAAGAGGAAAAAAGTTTTATATAAGGAACACAAACTTTAATATTGGTTACCGTAAAAGCAAGTAGTTCAGTCTCACAGAACGTAAATACAGTTGTTAAAGAACACAATTGTTGAGTATTTTGGTAATGGAATAACAGAAGACGTAACGCAAAGTTCTTAATTGAATTATACAATAAAACAAATTTCAGTATGGTCATGTCAATTTTAACAAATGTTCTACAAATCTTCAACAAACGGTCTTTTAAGAACAAATTCTTCACGACAGAATAGGCAAGTACCGTCATCTCCACCAATTGTCATTCTATTTTATTCGCATACAGTAAGTAATTTCAAAATTGATATAATCTCGACATAAAAGATGTAAAGGGATAGAAAATGATATCAGCGAGTGGAAAGATTGAGGGGCTCGTTTGACTCAGCATGGTCGTAATCTAACACGTTTTCCTCACGATAGGAGGGGTTCATGGCGGGAATGGAATGAGAGGTCATAGACACGTCAACTTGAACCATAGTGGATGGATCATCTTTGCAACCTCCGTGATCAAGCGACGAATTCATTGCTATATTTCCAGATGAAAAATCGCCCGGCGGTTCGATGCCTTGCACAGCAATAGGATTATAAAAAGGGACTGGATTAGGAGGTGTGCTTGTCGAGTCAGGTTCATCTTGCGATACATTTTCTGCAGAACTAGTTTCACTCGATCCATCATAGCTTATGGAACTTTGGGTCACTGTTGAATGAATACATTCATCTCTTCCGTACTGAATTATTTCGTTTTTAAATTCGAAGTTCTTCATAACAGAATTGAAACGAGATATTTCAGGTTTGGTAGTTTGGGCGTTGATGCGGTGCATCCAGCGCTTCTTTGGATACACTTTGTGAGGACTGATAGCCTTGAAACCACTACATAATCGTTTGGTAGGAGTGTATGATTTTCGGGCAGCTTTTGTTCGGATGGTAAGAGTTGTCACACCGGGCTGACAAGAACTAGAATCTGGCTCAGCTGCTACCGTATCACAGTGCGCTCTACCGCTTGCAGAATCGACACGCTCATTGAACATGATGCCATTATATCCATTACTCCCGTTTTCAAATAGCCGAGAGCTAACACATCTTGCAGGACTGTAGACATCTTGCGGCTTTTTTGCACTATCAGCCTTCAATGATACATTTGAGAGAAATTGGTTGTCTTTCATAACATATTTTTCTACAGAACTGCCAAAATGTAATGCAGAATGAGTATCATGCTCGTCACTCAAATTTTTGTCAGCAGGCCCGATATCATCAGATGTTTCTAGTGGATTATCTTCAGGATCAGGAGTAATAGACTCGTAGATCGGTATGGCAGGGGCCACAGCGTTTGATTTATCATCATTAGACGCATCTATTTCACTAAATGGCAACTTTCGATGACAGGAGAGAGATCTCGAAAGCTCTGCTCTCTCATCAAACTGAGGATTTGGGTCGTTGTCACCACCAAATCGTTGACTCATTCTTGGAACACTTGAGAATACATGTCGATAGTTTGACTCGGAATATAGCATTTCATTTGGCGTTTGGTTTGCATAGTTCGTTATCTCCAAATGTTCATCAGTAGTTTCCCGTTTTACTTGAATATATTCGGATGTGGAGTCTTGTTGGATCTGCGGTATCTCAGGCCGAGAACGATCATTAGGAAACTCGGACGTTTGGCAAGGACGTTTTCTGTTGTGGGCGGCAGTATACAAAAATTTATCTGGAGACAAAGGCATTTCCGTTGAGGTCATGGTATTGAATAAGACCCTATTGTGGAAGATAACTCTGGGGCTGAAATCATAATCGTTTTCATATGGCTTATGCTGCCAATTAATGGTACTAGGAATGCAATTGTTGGTAACAGAAGCGCCAGTAACAGAAGCGTCAGTAGGACTAAGAGAAAAAGGCCGCTCTTCTTTGATGACTATGTCACTTGATGCAGTCGAAGTCTCTTCCTCCTTAGCAGTCGTATACATTGTTTGCTGCAATGTGTTACTCGAGGTACAAGTTGCTGACTCTGCTTCATCACCTTGTGAAACATTGAAGTCGAGCTCATTTGTTTCTTCCACTGATTCTTGGAAAGTGTTATGTTTTAGAAAAGACGAAGATGAATGTGTAGGAGTTGAGTCATTTGAGAACATACTATTTCGGTACACGTAGGGTGAATCATCATCAACGTTTAGAGGCTTAATTCCATCTAAATCAAAGCAACGGAATGCATCAGATTTTTTCACTGGCAGGAGCTGGTTCTGTTTGTTACGAAACACGCGCGAATGCTGAGGCGACGACGGGATATTTTTAGGGCCGTCATGCACACCATACGAATTTTCATCCAGCACTTGAGCAGACTGAGATTTGGATGTACGATGCTCAGGAGTGCTGGACGTTTCATCAATGACAGCGACGCGACCATTATTAGTTGCTTCCATGAGCGGTCCTAAACCACGACGTGACTTGATGCGCTTACAAAAAGTGAAGTTTTTACGAACTGGCCCACACGATGCACCGGGAAGACTGCCAGAAGCAGACTGGTCAGGAGTTGCAAAAATGTCACCAGGAACAGGTGTAGAAGTCAAATCTGGCGCCAGTGTTGAGAAACACATTCCTTTATCAAGTGGAGTGGAGAAATGAAAGGCTTCATTGGGTGTGTTTATGAATGAGCGTCCTATAGGAGTGCCATAAGAACTTTCCACTGGGGTAGAGTAACGGCTTGGATCTTGCAACGAATTCATAAGACGAGCAGTACCCTTAGGTGTAGCCAAGAACGAATTATCAACTGGCGTGGAGAAAACGGAACTTCTCGTTGGAGTGCATGCAATGTCTGACTCATTGAGAGTGGAGAGTGACTGATCGCGTCTAGGGGTAGACACCGATGATCCGTTGAAAGTGTAATCAGCAGGAGAACCAGAACATTCAAGTGCACTTGTATTGGATGCACAGGTGGAACCCCAGTCTCGAGAATCACGTACCTGGGACACAGGGCTGGCAAAGATACTTGCCAGCAATGAAGAATTATGAACGTCTCGATGCTTCTCAGAGTTATCTCGTCCTAAAGAGACAGAGCGATTGTTTACTGAGCTATCATTAAACTCGTGACCTTGTGTATTGAAATATTCAGATTGGGATGAGTTGAAACTGACATCTTGTGACTCATCCTTTGTATTCTTGGAGTTGCTTCGTTTTTCAGATGTTTTACGGCTGTTCTTGTAGCGTTGAATGTATCCTTTCAACCACTCAATTACCTGCAAAAACATTTGAAACAATAATGAATACTTTTCATGTTCACAATTAATCCTCGTAAATCTAAGAGCTTTCAGAATTTTACTCATTTGCTCACAATTGTTTACTATTTTCTCCATTTATATGTAGAGCTTTGATAGTCATTATTAGATTAGATCATTAGATGCATCAACATACAGCAAACGGGCGTGATAATGAAATTGACAGCCTAACCTTTTAGCAGCGGATGACAAAACATGCAACTAATTCAGAACTTCAAAAGAAAAAAAAATTTTAACAAATGGCAACAAAGAACCATTGTACCACCAACAATAATTGATGAAACAAGTGAGAATAAATCGAGCAGAAATTTTAGTTTTGCATTATCAGAATTGACAGACCTTTTAATTTGTAATGAGTTACTCAGAAAATATTGATCATTCTGCACGAGTTGAATAGTTTGATTTGCCAAGATGCCCTGCACCAAAATGTAGAACTTCACTTCATAAAAATTTACATCACAAACTTATCTCTTTCAATAGACAGTATACTTATATACATGTCTATGAAAAGATACAAAATAAGATTAAAAATCTGGTGATAAGTAATTTTAAATCATTTAATTGTCAATACAAGAATTACACTTTTTCATAAAGATTATCGTTATTATGACAAGTTCGTTATGCCTGCATCTTCCGTTTGCAATCTGGACATTCTGCTGGACGCAGAACTTTCTATGAACAATCAAATTTGCCAAATTCACCACCGCTTGTATTAGCGCTCTGCAACAAATGCATTGCATCAGCTACTGTCTATTGAGGCCCTCGTGGTGGCGCTCGTTCTGACCAGATTGGAGTATGGTAATGCCACTTTATGGACTTGATAATGAACCCTAAATAAACTTATCAATAATAAACACTGCTGCACAGCTCGTGTTCCATAAGCAAAAATTCAACCACGCAATACTGATATTGCATGCTATTCACTGGCTGTGCATGCAGTAATGAACACAGTCCAAGGTTGCTGACTGGCTGTTGCGACAGTCCAATGCCTTCACAGTCTGGCGCCTACTCATCACACGGAATATCTGCAGTGCATATCAAATCTGCCTTCTATAAGGTGATTGCATTTTTCATCAAAAGCAAACCTCATCGTACGTACCATTTACACGTCTCTCAACTGTCGTTGCGGGTGTTTTGTTAATGGTTAAAGATGGAACTATTTCATGGAGCCTATAAATCAAGTGCATAACCATTTTTATCCATTCTCATCCTTTCTCGTATCTATTTATTTATTTTTACCTTGCTATTAAACTTATGTGTAACGTACCCTCAAAGTTCTTTGAACCAGACACTAAGATAACTGTTTCACAGAATAACAATAGTAAAGATTATATCAGAATCACCGATGATATCAACGGCAGCCACATGCTCTACAGCTAAAAACTAACAGCATATTGCTACATTCAAGAACTGTAAACTCACAGCTGGAGGCTCCCTCTGAAGAACCTCATCAGTAAGAAGACTGTCTGGATGACCGCTTTCAATCTGGCGCACAAGCTTCACATTAGGATGGCTAGTGCATGTCCTGTTGGTGTGCTTGAAGCGCATTTTGCAGCCCTCCACTGTAAAACCAAAAATTGATTAGACTAAAAAAACAAGAGGTATTCATGTATTCATACTCAAATCAATTTATGTACCCAATTCCTCAATGAATGAATGATGCACATAATAAAATATAACAAACATGAATTAAATTATAAACAATGCACTACTTTTGTCAGTTACTTTTTTATGATGGCTTAAACATAGAACAAATTTACCAGTAATTTTAAAGTCTTGTTAACATTTTGTACAATTAATTACGGAGGTAACTATTTCACCAGTTTAAACATGAGCTAAATATAAACATAAATAGAAACAATCATGTCAGATATTTCTTTAAATTTCTTGTTCAATATTTACTTATATGAGATGGCAAAAAAATGCATTGCATCATAATCAACAATTATTCATTATTCAGCAATGAAAATTAAGAAGGTTATGGATAAATATATGTTTTTTTACAAAAATGCTACAAAAAATGGAACCTTTGACTTTTTTATCACAAAACTAAGCTTGAAAAATATTATAGGACAAATAAATTTTCATAATGAATTGCGGCCAGGTAATTTTTTCTCATTTTGTAACCTGTAAACTATCCTATCAATGTTAAAAGGTTATTAATTTCAAACAGATATAATAGGTTTTGACAAGATGAGAAATTTACAGGTGAGACTACATCTATACTTTTTAGCGCATTTTCTCATTTATGGAAAAAATGCACTATTGTGCTCGCCATGTCCGCCTGTCCGTCCGTGACCTCAAGTTTTCATCAACGAGAAAATGCGCTCTCTGTCACTCACTGCAGTGAGTACTGAGTTATATTTTTTGTTGAATGCAATGAATTGTATTGCACCAACCTAATTTGCAAAATCTTCATCTTCTTTGATACGAGAAAAACTTGGAGATTAATCAATTTGAATTGAACACAATCTTTGTCACCAATGGGCCTGGAGAAAAGAATCACCATTAAATAAGGTTTACTAAAACAGACTCTAGTTTCGAGTATAACAATATGAAACTTACCAGGACACTTGAAGCAGTAATCATCTGTATGGAGCCTTTCATGTGTCCTCAGGTGTCCACTTTGTTTGAATCTCTTGTTGCACTTGGGTACAGGAAATGTGCAAACAAATGGTTTTTCTCCTGCACAAAAAAGGAAACATTTAATGGCTTATTCTGTACACGCTCCAAAATATTTTGGATTTAACTTTTACACAAGTATCATTTTGGCCTTTGGGTCTATTAATTTTATGTGTAAAGAGTCCTTGAAGTTTGTTTGCACCAGACATCATGATAACTGCTTTGTAAAATATTAATAATACTCAATATATTCATCAAGACCAAAGATTAATTTAAGATAAACAGATATATAATTTTCGAATAAAAATTTCAGTGTTGAATAAATTACTTTAGAAACAACTATCATTAACCAGTAGAGATGCCAATAATCCAGTATACTGCATCTGAATTTAATTGTAACTTCAACCCCTTAGACATAAATGACATATGTACTATCAATCTTCTAAGAAATTGCTTTCTGATAACCGCTTAATTTTAGCTTTAACAAAAATGAGTTCATTGGTTGAGTTAATATATTAAATATTAAAATTTTAATAGCACATTATATATATAAGAATTTGAAGCCATAATATTGGAATAAAAATACCTCCAGGGTGCATACCGGTACTATTTAGAAAAAAAAATCCATGACTTTTCCATGACCTGGTTCTAGACTTCTAGTAATCTTTGAATGCTAACTGAAAAGAAAGTAGTCAGCAGCTCAGCGCAGCAGAACCAAACTTTGCCAGAACGTACACAATGTGTATCAAATCTATGCATCCACTTGTATTATTATTTGAGCTTACAATCTTATGAATCAATTTTTCTCTGCTGGTTCCAAATGGAACTGCTAGCCAGCGCTAGGCGTTAATAGGTTAGTAGAATAGAAAAACACTTCCTTTTTAGTACATTTTCTCATTTATGGAAAATATGCACTATTGTGCTTGCCATGTCCGTCTGTCTGTCCGTGACCTCAAGTTTTCGTTGATGAGAAAATGCGCTCTGTCACTCACTGCAGTGCGTATTGAGTTATATTTTTTCTTCATTTATTTGCAAATTCCATGACTTATCATAACCTGAAATGAAATCCCAAGACTTTCCAGGCCTGGAAAATGAAAAATCCAAATCCATGACTTTCCATAACCAGTACGCACCCTGAACCTCCTACAATGGCATTTTCCAAAATTTTACAGGGAAAATACTAAAGAAGACAAACATTTACCTGTGAATTTTAAAATCACCTGTGAAGTGATCACCTATTCGGAATCACCAAATAGAATGGAGATGCCTGTCAATGTAAATAAAATGGCCACATGACACATCACTTGAGTTACCACTTACCAGCCTCTAATACTAACTCAAATTTAATACAAAGCTATTATATTATTTTAGTGACTAGGTAGCCTAGCTGCTGAGCTGAGCCTGAGTGGCATTGACAGTAGGTTAACCCTTTACCGCCAAATCGTACTTTCAAGTTGCCTTCAAAAAAACCATCGGTTTTCTAATAATTTCACTTTTTCTGTCATTTTTTTGAAAAATTCACACGAATAAAAAAGTCTTAAGATTGATTTTTTACATATGTGTACCAAGTTTCAAAGTTATCTGTCTGTAAATAACCAAAATAAAATTTCCAATTTCCAATGGCAATTTCCTATTTCTTTTGGAAATTTTATTTTGGTCATTTATGGACGGATCACTTTGAAACTTGATACACATATGTAAAAGATAAATCTAAGACTTTTTTGTTTGTGCAAATTTTTCGAAAAAAGTGAAAGAAAACATGAAATTCTTAGAAAACCGCCAAAAAGGGGGTACTGTAGAAATCTATCTCCTCCTAGGATTTTCAAGCTACAACATTGAGATGCATATCATTCGATGAGTAAGGACCATATCTATCAATTGGTCTTTGCTGTTTTTTGAAATTCTAGTTTTTGTGGGTGGGGTGAGCATTTTTCAAAAAAATTTTGATTTCTCCCCCCACACTTTCAAATTTCCCTTCTTTTTTTTCAAAATATTTTCAAAACTATAACGAAATTGAAAAAAGCTACGATTAATCTCTTGATCTTTTATTTGCAAATTGAACGGTATATTTCTCATTGCTGTAGCTTAAAAACACTAGCCTGACTAGGAGGAGATAGGTTTGCATTGACAATAAATAAGTGTGAATGTTCAGTAGAGCGTGGCAAAGTCCCGAGCGCCTCGAAATAGGCATTCAACGAGGCTTGGATACAAGACTATACGTTACTGGAGCTGAAATTCAGTCAAAGATGGTTGGAACGACTGCATGAGGCCATGAGCACCATCCCACACAACAGCAACCGGGTAACGAAAGATCAGCGTCTTCAGGTCGTCTATTCATGTGCCCAACCGGTAATTTTTGCCTATATTAAATGTGAAAGAACTTCCACAGTGACCCCCAAGATGGCTCAGTTACAATGGACATTGGCTCCACGTTATCTTTCCTAATTCTACTACTGTCCCCCAACCCCCATCCCTAGCCCTTTTGCGAACTGTCGTCAAGGCATAAATCAACATACAGATATGATTTTGGTCCGTTGGATAGGTCAGAATGTCAGCTTTAAGTTGAGACTAAAAGCAAAAAGTGAAATTTACGATTTTTGTCCCAGAAATTTGGGCGGTATAGGGTTAATTGAGTGCAACATTAGTCATTAGTTTATTGCACAGAATTATTCAAGTAGAACAAAGCTATTATATTATTTTAGTGACTAGGTAGCCTAGCTGCTGAGCTGAGCCTGAGTGGCATTGACAGTAGGTTAACCCTTTACCGCCAAATCGTACTTTCAAGTTGCCTTCAAAAAAACCATCGGTTTTCTAATAATTTCACTTTTTCTGTCATTTTTTTGAAAAATTCACACGAATAAAAAAGTCTTAAGATTGATTTTTTACATATGTGTACCAAGTTTCAAAGTTATCTGTCTGTAAATAACCAAAATAAAATTTCCAATTTCCAATGGCAATTTCCTATTTCTTTTGGAAATTTTATTTTGGTCATTTATGGACGGATCACTTTGAAACTTGATACACATATGTAAAAGATAAATCTAAGACTTTTTTGTTTGTGCAAATTTTTCGAAAAAAGTGAAAGAAAACATGAAATTCTTAGAAAACCGCCAAAAAGGGGGTACTGTAGAAATCTATCTCCTCCTAGGATTTTCAAGCTACAACATTGAGATGCATATCATTCGATGAGTAAGGACCATATCTATCAATTGGTCTTTGCTGTTTTTCAAAATTCTAATTTTTGTGGGTGGGGTGAGGATTTTTCAAAAAATTTTGATTTCTCCCCCCACACTTTCAAATTTCCCTTCTTTTTTTTCAAAATATTTTCAAAACTATAACGAAATTGAAAAAAGCTACGATTAATCTCTTGATCTTTTATTTGCAAATCAAACAGTATATTTCTCATTGCTGTAGCTTAAAAACACTAGCCTGACTAGGAGGAGATAGGTTTGCATTGACAATAAATAAGTGTGAATGTTCAGTAGAGCGCGGGAAAAGTCCCGAACGCCTCGAAATAGGCATTCAACGCGGCTTGGATCCAAGACTATACGTTACTGGAGCTGAAATTCAGTCAAAGATGGTTGGAACGACTGCATGAGGCCATGAGCACCATCCCACACAACAGCAACCGGGTAACGAAAGATCAGCGTCTTCAGGTCGTCTATTCATGTGCCCAACCGGTAATTTTTGCCTATATTAAATGTGAAAGAACTTCCACAGTGACCCCCAAGATGGCTCAGTTACAATGGACATTGGCTCCACGTTATCTTTCCTAATTCTACTACTGTCCCCCAACCCCCATCCCTAGCCCTTTTGCGAACTGTCGTCAAGGCATAAATCAACATACAGATATGATTTTGGTCCGTTGGATAGGTCAGAATGTCAGCTTTAAGTTGAGACTAAAAACCAAAAACGTGAAATTTACGATTTTTGTCCCAGAAATTTGGGCGGTATAGGGTTAATTGAGTGCAACATTAGTCATTAGTTTATTGCACAGAATTATTCAAGTAGTCCTGACTCCCGACTCAAAAAAAAAACATTTTGATTTAGCCTATAATTTCTCCCTGCAATGCCTGCATATTAACTCCATTTCTGTCAGTGTCAATGTGTCATATATTAAAATTCACAAAATTGCAATAAAAATTCCATAATCATTAATGTGTTTGCACTTTGCTACATTGGAATATTGAATACTAGGTAGGTATACATAGCCTAAACAAATGTTATTACAAGATGCTTTATTTCACATGCAATGATTATGAATGATGCAACAAACAAGTACCTAATTATAAAATTTAATGTAAGTAATTACAATCAAGGTGACATACCTAAATTCTAGTGAAAATGATAGCAAATAGGCTACGTTTCTACTTACTTTAAATATGACTATTTAACTGTGAACTGGATTGGAAAAAAATGAGCTACAACTTGAAGTGACAACTGACAAGTACCTAATGAGTAATGTCTGTAATGACAATTGACAAGTGATTGACAACCAGCTCTACCTAGCCTATGATGAGAAAATCATCTAGGTACTACTCCAATTAGAACTAGGCTATTGAATTAGGTAACCTATAATATAATCACCTGTGTGTGTCCTAAGATGCGCAGTCAAAGATTTATCTCGAGGAAATGTTCGGTGACAATATTGACATTTCACTTTGTGGGTACTCTGATGTCCTTCCATTATTAGCTTTGTGATAACTTCAGCTGGAGGTCTCCCTCGCTTTGCACGTTTAGGCTCGTCTTCCATTGCAAATATTAAATCTTGCAGATTATTAAACGAATTAGATATCTTGTATAAAAATGAATATTATTTACTTATTTGGAAGCCATTGTCAAATAGTTTAAACGCCACTTAAAGACCCCACAGGTAACACACACGGACTTTTAAACTCATTGCGCACCAACATGGTTGCCGCATTCGTGTGCAAGTACCCTTGCCGCCAAAATCTGTTTCGCAAAGGCGGGAAAGCGGAGCTCTTTGATTGGCTGTTGAAGGTCAAGTTATTATTAGATGAGTCAATAATAATATTATAAGTCCTTCACAAATGGATATTCAACACCTAAAAATTCTTGCGTGATAGTTTTATTTATTTGTAGATAGTTATTCGATGCTTGCACTGAGAGCCATGAATAATTGAATACAATTATAAAATATTATTTCAAGGGAATAAAATGAAAACAATAAACTGAAAATAAACTAATTAAAATTCATTCTAAAAATTGTTCTATATTACGCTATTAGAATTTTGAATAAAAAATGTTGTTATTTTTTATTTACCATATGTTCAAACTAAACACACTTAATCTGTAATCACCAATAATCACTTTTAAAGTAAAAACATGATTCTGAATTTTTAAGAATTAACATTCAAGAATGGCAATTTCAGTGCATTAGGTACGAGAGATTATTGTTTTATCTCAACATACACAACAACATTTGCATTTACGGTTTAGAAAGTGCTGCCTGAGCTCAGGAAGCTTGAGTGGAAACATTTTGGAGGTCTTTGTTTGGGGGGTAACTCGTGCACTGCGTAGTTCTGTGCACACGACGCGTGACCATATTGAATATATTTCATGAGCGGATTGTAGAGCGGCTCAAGAGTAGCCTTTAAATTTTCAAAATCCTCCCAATCGAGGTTTAACAATGGAGAACTCTTATGGTGTAGGGGTCCAGAATAGGTACGAAGTCAACTTTGATGAGGAGGCCGATCCTCTGGACTTCATTAAAATACCCAAGAAACCGGCCAAGACTTCTTCTGAAGAAAAGGAAAATAAAGAGAAGTCCAACAAATCTAAGGTTGCTTCAAACAAGAAAGTTCCGAAGCCAGATGGAGTTGCTAAGGCTTCAGAGAAGAGCGTTCAAGGTGAGATTTAACGAGCCAGCCATGATTTTCATGTAAACGTGTGTCACGGTGTGTAGCTTACAGTAGCTATGTGCGTGTTTAGCCTTAAGCCTAAGGTAGAAGCGTAGAGCACGACAGCACGTGTTTACTAAGGTAGCTACTAGTAGTATACTAGTATTTAGTCTTGGGAGCGCTGCCGTAGCCCAAAAATTTGACTCTTAAATTAGCCCAAGAGCCAATGCCAACCCTCTACATGCAATAGAAATAGTCAGTATAACACCTATGCAGCTGTTCTTACTTGCCTCATCTCGCCACACCAGCTTGAAACAAGCAAAGCCTCAGCCCACAAGCTGATACTCCAAACGGATTACGCCCAATAGGCTAGCTCCTAGGGTAAACGCGGTAATTCCGTCACTTCTCAAGTTTTTCCTTTATATTAAGCTTTGTTTTAGTTCCATGCGTTCATTGATGGTTGAAATGGTGACGTCATACATTTGCGTGTCGAAATAGGCAAAAACACTAGGTCTTGGCCATCTAGTGGGAAAATATTGAGATCCAAAGAGAGACAATGCATGCCACGTGGTGAGATCATCGAAAAATGTGTCAAATTTGACAGTTGACATGGCTCTACCAAATAGTGAATAACTGTTTTTATAGGAAGAATATTATGGTTTGAGACTTTTAAATACGTCTGTGAATATATTAGGAATCCTTTAAGTATACTTGTATTCGCTGATTTCAAGTCGTAAATAAATTAATAGATGATTAAGTTGAGATGTTGGATTTCGACACATGAAAACTAATTCCGACACAACTTGAATTGGACACACACAGATCGTTCAAAGCTTTGTACAAAAATTGAAATTTGCTTAATTAAAAGCCTAATAGCTGTTAATTAAAACGTAATTAAGTAGTGTTCAATATTCGTTAGTGTTCTAATTCAAAGCCGTGTTGTATCCCAATACAGCTCACACAGCAAACGGAATTCGAACACGTGGATGTCGGCAATACGTATCAGTTAAATTTGAAGCGCTGACGCAATACGACTCACCACGTGTCGGATGTTGCCACACAAAGTGACGGAATATAGGGATTTGGTAGGTTTCCATTCTAAAGGCTTTTTAATAAATATGGCAACATTTTGTGACGTTTCATCGTTGCTGACGCGTAGTGAAGTGTTTTGAGAGTCACGTGAAGGCAACAGAACTTACGTAACGAATACGGTTTTTTTTATCGGTTTTCATTTCTCGATGCGTCCTTAATGTGTGGGAATATACCGCGTTTACCCTACACCAATGATTTAAGCACATACTATCACTTCTTACAAATGCCGTAAGCCACAGGGTCCGCAGACCGCACCAGACTGCCGTAAATGGGAACGGCCCTGCACCGTACTGTCGCATCACCTTACCCACTTTGCAGGCGTAAGCCCAGCCCTGATGCTCACCAGCATCTTCTTCCTCCACACTTACCCCCTTCTCTCCACCTTTCCGCAGAAGGGTTAGGTTAGGTTTGGTTAGAATTCTTCTGCAAGCTGGTACCAAAAGGAGGGGGAGCAGGGGGTAAGCGTGGAGGTTTAGCCTCCAGAAGAACGGACAGGCTGGAGAGGTAGCAGTGTACTGATAGCAGTGTAGCTCAGGGCGTTCTTTATCGAAAGTGGGGAAGGGGCTAGGCTGCATGGAATAAAAATATTTTGGGGTTTAGCGTGTGGGTTACGACCATTGTTTTGGTGGCCTGCAGCTCATTGGCTTGCTGGTTTACATCCAGGAAGGGGTTTGGTCCCTGTGGCTTTCAGCAAGTAATCATGTTGGCTAATTTGCTCTGCAGCATGCTTGCGCTCGGGGAGAAGTATGAAAATTATGCTGGTATTGGGCAATGCTGGGCTATTTCAGTTGTCCCTTTAGTCTTAACCTACTTCGAAACATAAACAACTCGCTTCAAGTTTCAACTTATTTGTCTATGTCTCTGATGCCGCAAAGTTCTATGTGCAGTATTTGGCTATTTGCTCTTTCTTCTCTATTGGCAATACCAATATAAATTCATCATGCTAAGGCTAAATTCTATATCTCTCATTTGTTTTTAGTTAATCAAATTTTATATAATATGGAGATTTCTATAATGTTTAAAATGAAATGTTCATTTAAGGTCTGAATTTTAAGGAGTTGGTTTAGGTATATTTTTTTGAGAAATCAAACCCATTTGTCTATTCTTTTCATTTTGTCTTAAAGGCAGTGTTTCAAGGAATTGTTGATTGGAGAGCTTGTTGCTGTGCAGTGAGCAGTCAGGCCTAGAATGGAAGTAGCCAGTAGGGTAAACGCAGTATATTCCAACATCGTGGGTAATTATGACACTTCTCGACTTTTTCCCTTTATATTAAGCTTTCTTAGTTCCATGCATTCGTTGATGGTTGAAATGTTGACGTCATACTTTTGTGCACCATACTATTGCCAAAACACTAGGTCTGGGCCATCTGGCGGGAAAATCTTGAGATCCAAAGAGAGACAGTGCGCATCACCCAGTGAGAACATTGAAAAATGTGTCAAAGTTGATAGGGTAAACGCGGTATATTCCGACATCGTGGGTAATTCCAACACCTCTCTAGTTTTTCCTTTTTATTAAGCTTTGTTTTAGTTCCATGCGTTCGTTAATGGTTGAAATAGTGACATCATACATTTGCGCGTCCAACTACAGCCAAAACACTAGGTCTGGGCCATCTAGCGGGAAAATGTTGAGATCCAAAGAGAGACAGTGCATGCCACCCAATGAGATCATCGAAAAATGTGTCAAAGTTGACAGTTGACCTTGCTCTACCAAATAACGAATTAGTAGAGTTAGAAGCGCAGCCCAGTCAGAATTAGTCTCACAAAATGCCTAATTTAGTCACACACAGTGTCAGAATATATGGATTTGGTAGGTTTGCATTCTAAAGGCTTTTAAATAAATATGGCAACATTTTGTGACATTTCATTGTTGTTGGGTCGTAGTGCGGTGTTTTGAGAGTGACGTAAAGCAAACAGAACTCGAGTTGCGCATACGGTTTATTTTTTATAGCCATTCATTTTTTGCTACATCCTTTAAGTGTTGGAATATACTGCGTTTACCCTACCTACATGAATTGAGATTTGAGAGCAATATATTAACCACCATTTTTAGAATTCCATCTGACTGCACAGTGCAGTGAGTGCACACTACACAGGGTGCATAAGCTACCAGTCATGGAAAACATGGGAAGTCATGGATTAGGATTTTTCATTTATCGGGCCTGGAAAGTCATGGGATTTTGTTTCAGGCTATGGAGAAGAAAAAAAAGGAAGTGTTTTTCTGTACTGCATGTTAACCCACTTAATGCCAAGTGGTTCCATTTGGAACCAGCAGAAAAAATGGATTCATAATACAATTGCAAGATCAAATGAATATACAAGTGGATACATAGGTTTGATACACATCTTGTACAAGTTCTGGCAAAGTTTGATTCTGCTGTGCCAACTACTGTCTTTTCAGTTAACATTCAAGAACCAGGTTTCAGTTACCATTACTAGAACATCGGCAACATTTCAGTTAACATTACTAGAACCAGGTCATGGATTTTTTTCTAAATATCGGTATGCACCCTGACTGCACACTCCTATACCATACAGCCATATGACGTAATCAATTGAAAGTTCTAATGGCAGTTCAAAAAACTTACCTACACTGATCACTGATAAGATGTATTAGTTCAAACAATAAGATGTATTAGTTCAAACTCAAAGTAGCACAACAATACTGGTTCTTCTTACAAATCTTATGACACTCGCTTGTCACTCCAATACCTAAATACTTGAAATCAACTATTTTGTCATTTTGACCACTCCATTGACTACCAGAGTTTATTTCATTCATGAAACATTCATGTATTCATTCATGAAACATTCATGTATTCATTCATGAAACATTTGTAAAATAATGAGTAAATTTTCATTTCCATATATAATAGGGATTCATAAATTATCTACCAAATTCATTTATTATCATTCAATTTGGAATCTATAGACAGCAATGGAATTGTAGTTCAAGTGATATATGTAACCACATTAAATGTTGGGCATTAGAATTACATGTATCTAATGTCCTGTTTACACATCTAGGTGCTGTTCCTATATATTCTATATATACTTCCAAATATCTCATTACACTCTCTATCACAGCCAGTTGCTCCATCAGACATCATTGCAATCCACTTTTCACTGGTTCTTGCTATCTTGCAGACCCCATTCTACTACTGTGTTTAAATACTCACATCCTCATTCAGAATCACCATCTTAGAATGTGGCCTTGTAGAATGTTGGGTATCTCTCACCCACCTCACATTCCCCCAACAAGTGCACCACAGTTTCCATCTCATCCCAATCAAACAGAAAACCTTTGTCTTTTCTCTCCTCTCATTCCACTTTATCCTATATTCAACCAGTATCACTGCCTTTGTACAAATCAGCAAATACTTGCCACTACTTTTATCATATGTACAGCCATATTTTGGCATTGCCTTATTTTATAGCTTGTTTCCTTGCACTCCATTTCACACTACCACATATTCAACCCATATCTTTAATCTCTACTAATTTCTATTTTCCCATTCATTCTTGTTCTCTTCAATTCAGGCTGTACTATGGGGTGACTTTGGCCAGCTAATTTTTCATGCATATCATTTATAGAAACATTTATCAAATATAGAACATTTATCAATATAGAAACAAATTTAAATACAAATTCTGTAGCAATGCAACTTCCTTCTACATTTTTTATCAGAAGCTGGTGGCATCATATCATTAACTTGCATATATCATTTGAATTACACTCAGAGGGAACATTGCCTTTTGGTGCTTGTTTGTTCAATGTGTATCAGAAATTCAGAATTCATTCAAGTGCAATGTAGAAAATGCAGATCTAAGATTCTGTTGGTCAATGCAAAATAAACTTGTAGTGACTGTTTGTCCACTTAAAATTCATTTTTTAGTGGCAACTTCAATTCTAGATTTCAAATAGCCACATATAAGAATTTGTCATGCTAGAAATTCATTCATTTCCCCACTTGAAATTCATTTATGTATAATTTGTTGTGCTTGAAATTCATTCATTTGTCCACTTGAAATTCATTTTTAGTGGCAACTTCAATTCTAGATTTTAAATTGCCACTTATAAGGGTGATAAAACTAATGAAGCTTGAACCAATTTTCACAGGCAAACCTCAGCCAGGACCCCAGCAGAGCTCACAGCAGCGGAATGGCGAGCACCGAGTGAAGTTCTCCGAACGCGAGGAGAGAAACAACCGTCGCAACAAGCCAGACGGCAGCTTCAGTGGCGCCCCTAATGGCCAAATACAAAGGTGTGTTCTATAATGACAATAGCATTTGTCTCACATTAATGCTGTGCTGAGTATTGTAACCTCCATCATATTTAATCAACATTTTTAGCGCATTTTCTAATTATGGAAAAAATGTCCTATTGTGCTCATGTTCATCTGTCCATGACTTCGCGTTTTCGTCGATTTTGAGAAAATGCGCTCTCCGTGTCACTGGCTGCAGTAAGTACCGAGTTATTTGTTTTAAAAAATGAGCACAATGGCTATTAGAAATGCTTTTCAAATATCTTTTATGTGCCTTTTGGCTCAAAACTGGCGTGCGATGTATTTCACATTTTGACTAGGGAACAAATAGAAAAACTATTTTCTAATACTGTACCATTGCCTGTATTCCATTTTATTCTAAATTTTTACTAATTGATATGTATATGTTGTCATGAAACCTTGAAGACGATTGAAAAGAATTTCCAATCATTATTGCAGAAGAATTGGTTATCATTATTGCAGAGTGAAAATTCAATAAATATTTATGGAGGGCTAGCATCGCGATGAGTAATTATTTTATTTGCCAAATCTAAAGCTCGTCAAGATAAAAGTTTAGCTTATCAGGATGAAAGCATAATTGTTGTCTTTAGGGAAATGAACGTTTTGGTGGAAAAGTTATTGCTGAGGTATTTTTAGCGCATTTTCTCATTTATGGAAAAAATGCACTATTGTGCTCGCTATGTCCGTCTGTCCGTCCGTCCGTGACCTCAAGTTTTCGTCGACAAGAAAATGCGCGCTCTGTCACTCACTGCAGTGAGTACTGAGTTTTAATTTTTCGTATATGTATTGCACTGTACCAGTTGAGCCAGTGTAATAATGAGCTTGGACGTCCAAAAAACTTAAATTTTCTACCAGTGAGTAAACATGTCCGGATAAATATTGTAGAATACCTCGTTCATTCTAAAATGCCATGATATTTTCTTGAACTCGATTGATCTGGTTTATCATTCGGTGTAGCGATTGATTTTTTTTATTTCAATAATGTTGTGACTCACAATGGTGATGCACTTGCAGAAGTGATGACGAACGCCCGCCGCGACGATTTGAAGGAGATCGTCCGCCTCGTCGATACGAGGGAGATCGTCCTCCACGACGCTTTGATGAGGATCGTCCTCCGCGACGCTTTGATGAGGATCGTCCTCCGCGACGATTTGATGAGGATCGTCCTCCCCGACGATTTGATGAAGATCGTCCTCCGCGACGATTCGATGAGGATCGTCCTCCTCGGCGATTTGACGACGATGGACCCCGTCAGCGCTACAACGATGGCGGCGCCCCTAGGCGCTTCAACGACGGCGAACGCCGTTTCGATGGCGAAGGTCGTGGTCGCGGGCGCGGTATGGGTCGCGGTGGTCGTGGGCGCGGCGGTGGTGGCAAGCGCGAGTTCGACCGTCACAGCGGGTCTGAGCGCTCAGGTGTGAAGCCTGTGGAGAAGCGCGACGGTAGCGGTTCCTACAACTGGGGCTCTGCTAAGGACCAGATTGATGAGAACGTCAACAATGAAGCGTCACCTAACGCTGATCTTGATTCCTCTGCAGAGGACAAGGAAAAGGTGAGCCAGTCAATTTGAATTTTTCACTCTAATGTGTGCAATTAATTTTCACTTTAATGTGTGCAATCGTTTATTAGAAAGTATTTTCAATTTTGCAAGAGATTCGGTGATAGTTCCTATGAAAATTCTCACACTTCGTCTGTTCAGCATTTATTAATCGCTTTTTTTTTTATAATATTTGAGTTCTAAATTTTTTGATTTCTTTAAATACTATCGGTCCTTAGTCATTCGATACAAGTGCAAAAAAATTTTGTGGGGGAATCTTGAGATGAATGTGAAGAGAAAGAACGACTTCAACTTTGACAAATTTGGCGAAATAAATTCTAATGCAATGTTTGTCATCAGAGCTCCGGAGAAGACGGCGCAGCGAGCGGCAACGAGTCCGGCGGTGAGGCCGGGACCAAGGAGGAGGAGCCTCGCGAGATGACCCTTGATGAGTACAAGGCCATGCAGAAGCAGTCGCGTGTCAAGCCTGAGTTCAAGGTGCGCAAGGCCGGCGAAGGCGTCAACGATGAACAGTGGAAGAAGACCTACGTTCTCAAGAAGAAGGAGGTCAGCGAGGATGAAGTTGAAGAGAGTGATGATGAAGAGGAAGAAGAAGAGCATCATGGCAAGAGCAAGATTGTGCTTAACATCGACTTCCAGTTCTCTGACTCGCCCATGCGTGGCGGTCGAGGACGTGGACGAGGCCGTGGTGGCGTGGGTGGCCGTGGTGGACGCGGTGGCATGTCTGGCCGTGGAGGTCGTGGTGGACCTGTTGGTGGAGGAGGTATGGGAGGCGGTGGCTACGGTGGTGGATACAATCGTGGTGCCCGCGCTGCTCCACGACCTGCTGCCCCTAAGATGGACGATGAAGGAGATTTCCCGTCCCTCAAGGGAGCCAAGTAACTCCAGATTTCGGTGTTGGTGGTGGTGTGCTCCACGAATGAGTGATCGATCGAGTTGATAATTTTTCATTAAGTCCCCAAGCCATGAGAGTTCTCCAATGTTGAATTGTTTGCGGAGTACGTTTCGTAGCTAACGTATGTCCTCTCACTTCACTCGCTATGAAAATTAGCAAAACTACAAACCTAAACATGTTAATCCATTGCTATAATCAAACATCCGATTTTTTAGCCAGGCATTTCTTGCTCGCTGTCTTCTTACACTTACTGTCGTCAAACCAACTGTTTGTAAATATTGCTACAATATCGTGAGTGTCGTGCGATTTTTGTGTAAATAATGTCCATAATTGTCTGGTGTGCTTGAGCTTTGCTCATGTTTCAATTGAATTTAGAACGTCGCGTTACTTTTATACACATAGAAGACCCTTTTCTGCAGATGTTGAATTGTAGAGTAGGGTGTTCTTTGCCGTCGCTAGTATCTATCGTCCATAACCTTCACTATTGGAGACCTTGCATTTTGGTTTGTATGACATGCTCTCATCCGACTTTTATAAAAAAACTGGACTAGGTTTTGTTTGCAGTACAAGAACAAATGCGTGTGACTGTTATTACCTAATGATGTTGTGCTTGCGGTTAATTAACCCTGGTTGATCTGTGATCCAGGCTAAACCTGGCTGCGTACTTGACGCAAGTTTTTTTTTCTGCTACTGCAAGTAGCAAGTTGAGACACTAACAATAAAATTTCGAGTCACGTGTCGAATGATTTTCCAACCAGATGAAGTCGTACTGATCGTCGCGTAGCATTTAGTTTCTTTAACTTATGAAGGTTTCCTCCCGTAGAACGTTTGACTTGATTGCATATATGTAACATTTTCTGAGACTTGTTTAGAGTTCTGATTGAAAAAGTGCGTTCACTTAAATTAATCATGGTTCGTGACGATAGGTTGTGCTATCGTATTCGTGCCTAATTCCGAAATTCAAAGGAAGCAATTGACGTCACGTTGACAAATTGACAATAGTTGAATAAATTTGTGCAATTGGATAAACACGTCAGCAGTACTAAAGGACTATTCACACATGTTACGAATAGAACTTTCCTATCCAAATGATCGACATGAGTTGGACCTTCCGGTTTTATTGATTGAGGCTGCCATTCCAATTGGTTGCAAGGTTTTCACGCCCCGCCGTGTTTGCTGCCAAAAAAGGCCCCGCGTAAATGAAACTTGGGATCTCCATAGCAGGATGCCTGAGAGGATATGGTATTTCATACCGAGTAGGAGATACTGGGGATGGCCGCGCAACAATTCAACATCAAAAATGTGCGATTGCATTTGATGAATGAAACGGATCACACACTAACACCATTGTACTTAACAAATTACAAAGAGTACACTTCGTGTCAAACTTCAGGACTGGAAACAAACTAGGCCGGGTTTACAATTTCGTAACATTGCCTGTACATGAATGTCGCCCGAGCTAGGTGCGGATGAAGAATCTTCCTGAAATTCCTACAGCAACAATGTTTTATTCATTACTGACTACGATTAACAAGGGTTCTTGATTATTTTGAAGGTACTTCACTACTTTAATGCCAACTCGCGAGAGATCAAAAGTGCGTGCTTAGGACAAGATTTATCTATAAATTGTAAAATCGCATGTTGATTACGGCACAACGTCTGGCGTTCACAGCAATTACATAAATTTTGTCTGAACGCGATCATATAACGTTTTAGCAGACGACAAGACTTCTGAAACATACTGCTAACTCCCAATATTTAACGTCATCTACATTATTTATGCTTGGATACAATTCGATACATAAAAACTTTTCTTACCCAACATTTCAAATGAACATAATATAGTTCAAAACAAATTAAAAGAGTGAAAAAAGTCGAAATTATAGCTCTGGTGCTTAGTAAACAGTCTTCCTACATTTTGTACAATCAGAAAATCATAACCAATCACAACATAAAATAGTATTAACAAGTATCATTAATTCAGTCCGTGTGTTCCGAAATAAATGTCAGGTGAATGTCGTCTTCATTACAATGCGTTAAAATTCCCGAAAAAATTCTACATGCGAATCAGTGGCGAAATAGACGTTCCTATAAACAAGGAAAACAAATCGGCAGCCGAGCTTATGTACAGAAGGCACACAGGCCCACATCTCAATAAAGAGGTTGATAAATTTCAGTTTGCTTTCACGAATTACTTCGCCATAAGATAGATGATCAGGATGGTGCAAACGTCGAGGCTGATTCTGAACCTTCTATCAAAAATCACTCGTAAAACATACGTCAATACGGTACAAAAAACCTTGTTGCATTATCCTGGAATGAGCTTGTGCTGCAGTCACGCATTGATCGTTTATAAATAAATAAACACTTAAATGGATCGTTTCTAAATGCCAAGCATTATTGCAGTGATCTAACAAAACTACAGTTTAAAACTGACGAAAAATTTTCATTTGGACCAATCTAATAATATAAATTTATAGAATATTTACTAGAACAAAAATGCCAAGAATACACGATACATTGCCGGTATCATGTTTTCTCGGCATTTTGATTTGAGAGTACATAATACAATGCCGGTACATGATAAATAATCGAGCCAACAAGAATTTGCTGCACAAAAATATAAGACAAGAGAAGAAACAACATATCACAAAAAATAGAATAGACAATAGCATTTGAACGATTTATCAACATTAAATGATAGACAACTAATATCATTGTTGGTAGCGAAGCCCGTTGTACACTTTGCTCACGCTCTGCTGCTGCAGTATGTCTTTGAGGGCTGAAACAAAGGAAGAAGAACACCTATGTTATTTGCTGATAAATCATTAGAAATTCATCAAGAAGTTGTATTTCGTTTATAAAATATTATTTAAACTTCTAATTCGACATAACTCAGCAACTCTATTGAAAATAAATTAACATTATCATTATTAATTAACATATAATTAATTAATTAAATTAATTAATTAGGATTAACATCATTAACATTAAATATGTTGACATTAACATTAAATTAATTAATTAACATATCATTCTTCATTCAACATTATCATCAGACGTTACTGACAAACATGAGGCTCATCACTTAACTGTAATAGTATCCCCTAAAAGCTTTTTTTGTTCATAATAGCAAAGTGTACTTTATGAATGCATCATCCTGAATATGGAAAGAAATGCTGCTAGGAGCATAAAACATACCTTGTTTCTGTTCGTCGGAAAATCCCTCCTTGGGGAATTGCACGTCGAAGGTGATGTAGAGCGTGCCCATGACGTTGTTATTGCTGTAGTTGCGCATGCCTTCGTCCTTCTTTCGGATACGAGCACCAGGCCAGATAGGCTTATCGCGAGTTATATGGACCTGTGCAAAACATTTTAGACAATAGGAAAAGCATTGAAATATAAGATAACTTAGCACTTTGAGGGCTAAGAAATTAATGATGAGAGTAATAATACCACTCATTTTTTGAATACCCACGACAAGTTAATTCAAAATTGCTTTTAATATAAAATTTTTATTTCTAATCCATTTGGATATAAAACCTTAGAAGTGATTTGAGCTTTAGGGAACTACCAAGTGCTAGCACCCAGATCAAATTGACTAACTTTGTAGCTCAGCTTTAATCTGAGTAGAATTAGTTTCGTAAACACTACTTAACTGCGATGGTTTCTGGCTTGAAGTTAACCTTAAAATAAACGACAAAGACAAAGGCGTTTGCGTTCCTATGTGGACCTAGCCATGTGGTACGATTTTAGCTTGAAACTAATATACGTCAAAAAATAACTTTTTGAAGACAATACTTCTAAAGAATCCAGTGTTTTCAATGTTACAGATGTACAATGAATTTCGAATTTTATTTTCGAATATTACAAAAAGAAATTTTTTTATTTTTTTAAAATATATATATATATTTTTTCAAAATTATTTATTCTGTCAATTGATTCATGCATTGCCTCTGACTTCACACAAGTGTGCAACATTTCAGATCAATTGGACAGGTAAAAGTGTGTCAAATATCAATTATAAGATTTGTAGCTGACAAAATTATTTTTTCAGTTTTTTTAATATTGAAAAAATGTCCATTTTTAAAATTATTTATTATATCACTTGATTCATGCATTGTCTCCAACTTTACGCAAGTGTGCAAAATTTCAGATCGTTAGGATAAGTAGAAGTGTGTTAAATTTCGATTATAAGATTTGTGGCAGACAGACAGACAAACAAGAAGTGAAGTTAAAAAGAAGTGTTGTAAAATTAGCTTCATATTGACTTGTCTGAACCAACCTTGTGTCCATCTAAGTGGAGGATATCGAGCTCGAAGCCAACCAGGGCATCCTGGAGCGACAGAGTCACATTTGTGTAGAGATCGTCACCTTTGCGCTCGAACCTGGCAAACGGGAGATGATGAACGAGTCAAGTTAGTAAATATTATCAGATTGTTATGTGAAATTGCAAACTGGGAACAGATTTAACACTAAGGGAAATAGAAGCTGAGTTGTCAAGTCCAAAATAAAGTGCAATTATTCAATATCAAATCGGATTTGTTAAGCGTTATCTTATCTGATAAAACAAACGAGTAACTCACTATAACGTTCACGACGAATAACATGTGTCTTTTGAAGATATGTTTAAAACAATTTTGTCATCACAGATGAGAAATGAGACGTAACAAAGCTCATTACTAACGTTGATAGGACGTTTACAAAAAATTGAGCATTAACCATCATTTTGTACTATCATTAAATTAGTTCAAATAATCGTCTCTTCCAAAGGAGGGGAAGAGCCAAAATTTAATTGAGAATTATAGGGATAAGAAACACGGAAATGCCACTGTCAAGAGAAGGCATGCCTAACAATTCCTTAACATCGCCACCGTCTCATAACTTACCGCGGTTGATGCGATTGCTTTATCCAGCGCCAGACCTACCCAACAATTCCTCAACATAGTTGCCATCTTATAACTTACTGCGGTTGATGCGATTGCTTTATCCAGGACCAGACCTACCCAACAATTCCTCAACATAGTTGCCATCTTATAACTTACCGTGGATGAGGTGCTTGCTTTATCTTGACGATGAGATCACCAGGCTCTCCGTCAATGTGGGGCTCTCCCTCGCCAATGAACCTGTACTCTTGACCTTCAACCATGCCCACTTCGATCTCAAACTCAAGGGTTCGTTCCTCGTTCACTAGCCTGGAAAGAACATCTTGGGTAAATCATGTGTCCAGCGTAGTAATTCAACTAATTTTAGAATACCTATCCGAGTTGAATTAAATGCATCAGAATACAAGTTTTTTACTCGTCTCACTAGATTTCAAAATACTATAGATACCTATATATAGATAAGGGGAACACACATGTACAATATATACTATTAAAGAATATTTGATAATGACCTAAGTAATACAAGCCTAATAACACTCATACTTGGTCTACAATCAAAAGGAAACCATTCAATTATAAAAACTTGCATCAGTACTAGACAATGTTTCAGAAATGTTAATTCATTGAAATTTACAAATTAATCTATTTTACTGGAAATGATGCTGACAAACTGTAAGATTGAATAAGTCGCAAATTGCTCATGGATGAAATGATGCCCAAAATATTATGGAATCACGCACTTGACGTTAGGACAGTCATCACAGACTTGCTGCTGCGTCATTTGGAAGCGGCCAGGACCAAGTTGGCGAGTTACCATCTCTTGCCGGCAGTTACACTTGCGCGTGCCAGATGCAGGTCGAGCCACCGGCTTATTGCGTACCAGCTGAGGGCAAAACACGATGTCAAGAAGACGCTCACAAGGTCACTTTGTTACAGCATATGAAGGCTAATGAAGTTAACAGAATCAAAATCAAACACAGCTTTAATTAAATCTAGATTAAGTAAGTAAGTAAGTAGTAGTATGGTTTACTAGCACTTCAGCTATCAAGCTAAAACCTAGATTAAACACATAATAATCACATATTCAGTTAAAGTTCTCGATATAAATTAATAATTAATAAATTTGGATACAAAAATATGCAAAAATTTATATCACAAGATCACTCGTGCAACACCATGGGCCTCAGTTTCTCTATTGCCATGAGAATTGGCAAGTAAACTCACCTCAACAAAGTTTCCCACATAAAGCTCTTCCAGAGTGGCTTCAAGATTCATGACAACATCTCCTCCTTTAGCTACTTCCCTCTCGGTTCTACCACCAGAATGGAAGCCAAATCCAAAATCTCCAAAGAAGCTCGAGAATGGATCCATGCCAAAACCACCACTCTCGTCTTTTGTCACACATTCTTCACCACACCTGGCAACATGAAGGCACAGCATGTATTTGTCATAGCATTTAATAATGAAGACTGGTATAATTCGACCGGTATAAGGAAGATGTCTGGTTTTATCAGACATCTGGTTTATGGGTTATAGCATCTAATAAGTGACGCTGCTTCAACAGGCAAATTTGTTCAGTATTGCAAACTTTTCCTCAACGTATCTAGAAAAACAAAGTGTACAATAAGATTACTAAATAATCAAATCACCATGTTGATGATAATTGAATTAAGGTCTACACATTTAACATTAAATAAGGTGTGCAATAAATCTTACCTATCATATTTCTTTCTTTTCTCTTCATCACTGAGGACCTCGTATGCAGCACCAAGATCTTTAAACTTTGCATCAGCTGACGGGTCATCTCTGTTCTTGTCCGGGTGCAGTTCTTTGGCATTTTTCCTGTAAGCTTTCTTGATCTCATGAAGAGAGGCACTTTTTGACACCCCAAGGATTTTGTAAAAGTCCCTCCTGAAATAAAAAGAAAATAGTTTTGATCATGCTAGTCCTGGGCATGGAGAAAATATTCAAAATTCTGCTTGGATTGCAAGAGCAAGAACATTAATGATTTAGGACCAGTAACCTACAGCTGTTTCTCTCTCATAAACAAATGCTATGAGAGACCAGCACCAAGAGGAAGTTTGACATCACCTGCAAGCTATCAGGGAGTAATTTTTCTCAATGTTAATCATTCTAAAAACTGCTGTTTGAATTATTTTTGTGAAAAAATTAAATTGTTAAACTGAACTAAATAAGAGAAAATTAAAGTCAAACCATTTTAATGAAAGCTCTAAGAATTCATTGGTAAACATGAATGACAATCAGTAATTTGCTATAGACAATCATTATTAGTTGTTAACCAAGTAGAAGGATAATCGACAACTATTATCCAATATGATTGTACTTGAGCATCTTTGGGCCAACAATTTATAGAGCATTACTTTATTGTCAGGGTTTTGGCCAATTCCTTGAAGTTTATGTTGACAAATAGCACCTTAAGAGCAGGATTGGAATAGTCATACTCTTTTCTAAAATCTTGCAACTACAAAGGCATACCTTTCTAAGTAAACTAGAAATCTTATGGCAACCCAAGCCATGTTATGTGTAAATCAAAAATTGTGTACCTTGCAAATGTATCATCCCAACAAAATTTAATGTTCCTGAGATGAGACGTGACCACAACTAAGCACAATCTTCAACTAAACGTTAGGTTGACCGTTGACTTGTTTACATCAGGATGATTACGTTCAGGAGGGCAGCAGGATTACCAGGATTTTTTAGGGGGAACATGAAAGTAGTGCGGATTGCTGAAGTGGAAAATTTTATAAAATGACACGTTTGCAAAGTGCAAACTGTAATTTTTTCAATAAAAAAAATTTATGACATTCGAGCCATGAGATTTCATACCTACTGAAATTATACAATACTGGAGCCGCAATATTTCAGAAAAAATAGGACTTTTCCAGCCATGCTTCTAGTTCTAATCAGTTGTTAACATAAATGTACAATTAGGCCAAAAATTATTTGAAAACATCAATTTGAACTTTGAAGAGATGAGATTATATCAGTCAGAAAATTTCAACATTGTGTTACTAGGGTAAACGCGGTATATTCCAACACATTAAGGATGTAGCAAAAAATGAATGGCTATAAAAAAAATCACTGTATGCGCAACTCAAGTTCTGTTTGCTTCACTTCACTCTCAAAACACCGCACTATGCACCAGCAACAATGAAACGTCACAAACTGTTGCCATATTTATTAAAAAGCCTTTAGAATGGAAACCTACCAAATCCCTATATTCCGTCACTGTGTGTGGCAATATTCGACACGTGGTGAGTCGTATTG